TTTCTTCCCCTTGTGTTCTATAAAATATAAGGTTGAGTGGTAAATTTATGATATATATGTATACATATGTTTGTTGTAACATCCCAATTTAAATTTTAATAGTTAATTTGGATTAATAAAAATTTTAAAAAATATTTAGAGGTAAATAAATTAGTAGGAAATGATCATTAAATCTAACTTAGGATATAATTCTAAATTAAAATTTTTTAAAAAAATTAATTAAAAAAATTATTATTAATTAATTAATTAAAAAATATTATTAAATTATTATTATAAAAAAAAGGTATGCAAAAAAAAAAAGGAAGAAGAAGAAGAACAAAATTGCTTTCGGCCGCCCACAACAATCATTGTATATAATAATAATATAAAAAAAGGGGAGAGAGAGAAAAGAAGAAATAATAAAAAAAAAGATGTGGGACCTACTGAATTTTTATAAAAACCCACCTGTTCCTTCATTTTTTTTTCATTCATTCCTTTGTACGTGCTGAGGTAGAGAGAACGCGAGTCGCTGGTGCGAAATATCTAAATTTTTAAGGTAAGAGTTTTTAATAGGATATTTAGGGTGTGATTTTAAGCTTTTCAAGACTAAGTAAGTGTTCTAAAAATTTTTCTTAGTCATCCTTCTTCTTTGGTTTTTGAGTTTGTAGTGGTAGAAAATTTAAGATCTGGAAGAGGGATGAATTTATGTTGAATAAATATGATTTTTGAGGTTGTCAGTAGTATAATAAATGTTTTAGAGTATAAATTTGTTGATGATCTTTGAATTTATAGCTTATGGATCAAATTCTAAACTAGATCTGAAAATATATGTTGATTTATTGAGGTTTAGATGATTATTTGGGATGAGAAATGAATTATTATGGCTATAGGATTATGATTCTAAGCTAGAGACTCAATTTTTAATTTTGGGTATTTTAGGTGCGAATTTATAAAATAAAAAGAAAATTTTGATAATAGAAATTAGTTTAAAATTTGATTTTTAGATTATTAATGTTTATTGATAATTAAAAGAGGAGTTAAAAATTTTACTTAATAGTATTAACTATAGATTTGTATTAAGATTGAGATTAGAAATTATATTATATTTTTAATTCTATTATTATAATTATTTTATTAATTTCAAAAATTGAAACTAATATTTATAAATAATATGTTATTTGTAGATTGTATTACTGGTAAAGATTGTGGTAAGAGAGAAATTTTAAGGAATAATTTATTGAAAAAGCGACAAGGTAACCATGCTTTTAATTTGTGATTAGTGTTACTTCATGTTAATTGGGTGATTATTGAGAAATTTATAAATTTTGTAATATTATATAATTGTGCAATATTATTATGAATTTATTTGATTATTGTGGGAGGTGTTGGGAGACTTGCTATTGTTATTGTATTTATGTGCCACGTGGTACGCCCCTATTGGAGCTCAATAGGTGGTTTGTAAGGGCTCGGGCTAATCTACCTTTGGCCGGGTAATTTAACACCGAGTGAGGGCTACGGGTCGAGGTTAATGGAGGGATATAAGGATGGTTGTTTGTGTGTATTGTAATATTCTTATATTTATTAGAATTATATTATTTTTAATTCTCACTTAGTAAGCACACACTTAACTGTTTGTATACACTATCATAAATTGGCTTTGGTTACTGGGACTTTTGAGTCTCATTATGTGGTTAACAATTTTCAGAAGAAGAGCCACGAGTGACACGTGGAGGAGTCCCAGAGGCTTAGTAGTATAAATCCACTGTCTCTTTTGGGTATTTAATTTATGATTTATAATGTGTTATATTGCCAATATTAGGGCTTTTTGTTTATTGTCAATTATATGAATATATAAATGTAATCATGCCTTTCAAACTATTTCTATTTTTAGTACAATTTGGATGACTGTAATTTTAATATTTGGTTTACTTTGGATTGGTTAAAATGGCATGATTATAAGGCCAAATAACTGGCTTGTGTTGAAAATTGACTAAATTGCTTATTTTACTTGTTGGGAGTATAAGGATGGACAAATGTGATTTAGCCTAATGGCATGTGAGAGGTAAAAATTTATCTGAAATGTTATAGTGTGTAAGTTGAAGTCAATTATAAAATATTTTATATTAAAATTATTGATATAAGAATGTGTTGGGTGGCTGTAACCTAACTATGGTTGAGTTAAATTATTTTTTAAAAAAATTTGGTGTGTTACATTTGTGGTGTGTTGCATGAGTCCTATACAGTCTATTGAGTGTAGTCAATTAGTTGGTGTAAACTTTTGGCACTTGCGTGTGAGTTTGGACACCATTGCTGTGAGTTTTTATGAAAATGGGTTTAGTTCTCTAACTCTTTGTAAAAAATGAATTTGAGTATGAAACTTATGCCATTAGCTAGAGTTAGAAAAAAGCTCTCTGTGGATATCAAAATCACCTCAATCAGACATTGGATGGAGATTTAAGACGCATCAAAAGTTCACTCCTAATGTTATCATGTGACAGTAAAAGTTTGCTATCAAATATCGTGTAATGTGCCATGGCGTATAGCACAAAGGCTAATGAGCCTCAATGCATTAATACTTAACCGCAACGCACGTGTCATTTTCTGTGGAATTCACAGTATAGTGATTTTAATCAATGGCCTAGATTCTTTAGTTGAATCCCAAGCCTTCGCATTGTTTTGAAACCTTGATTTGAAGATAATGAAAGTGTATGGGAGATATTTGAATGTTGAATTCTTAGATTCCCATTGTAAATAATTTAACGTTGTTTCCTTCATTTGAAATTTTGAAAAACGTGCTTCTCCCATTTATGAGTTGTGAAAACTTCATAATTCTTACTAGGTTTAAACCTATAATTACCTCAATTTTAGTGTTAATAGGGATTATATTGGGAGAGCTTACATGTTCTACTTGAATTTTTCAGTCAATGTTGTAATAAACAAGTGCAATAAGAAAATTAACAACTATCCTAAAGTAATTAACCACACACACTAAGGTGACGAATGTAATGTCCGCCTTAACATTATCAGAACAATACTCTTACACACTATCGTGATAATCAAAATTAGATAAATCCCAACCATAAGTTATCATAACCCAAGAGTTTAAAAGGTAATTAGTTAAGATAATGGGATCCCAAGAAAACCCTTTTTAAAATATTGTTTGAGCTCAAACTTTTAAAATTAATTACATATGGTAACAGAAGCATGAAAATCATAAGCATCTAAAATGAGATAATAACATCTAAATTTTTTTTTAGAAATTGGCCTGTCCATCTCAGCGTAGCCCACACCCGCTGCAGCAGATGACACAGGGGAATGAATCTCGTAGAAGGCATTTGCCTTATGACTGCAAAATGCTGTCATAATAGCACTCTCAACTTTTAAAGCTCGCCATTTGTCATCCAAAGTTCAATTTGAACGGTTCAATTGTCCATAAAAAGCTCTTCGAGCCCTTTAGCTAATGGCATCAATCTCAAACTCAAATAATTATTCATTAAAAAGATGGATATCTGAAATCAAAATAGTTTATTTTCACCTTAAAACACTTTCAAAGGTATCCAAAACACACCACAAAATGCCATTAATTACAGAATCACTTTGACCACCTTAAATGGACCATACACAATATAACAAGTCAATCATATCACACAATTAAGCATTTATAATGACCACCAAACTCTCAATTCACAACAACACAAAGGGATGGATAAAACTTAACGCACATATCAATTCACCCTTTCCTCTTGTTTTGATTTTCAGTATGGTTTGTGATTTGATAAGTAGATTTTGCACGTGCGCTGCGGCGCATGGCATAAAGAGTTCCACCACAATTTAAACTTTCCTCCATACCATGACCCGTTCAAACATCAATTTAGCCTTTTTCTAAGATTGTCCAAGAATTCAAAAACTATATTACTCTCCTAAAAATGTCATTAATCAATAATTTATCTAAATTAACTAAAATACCCTTAGAAAAACTGAAAATTTCTAATTTGAAAACTTAAGATGTTACAACGAACAAATCATTCAAACATGAAATCCTACCAGTATGATCATATTTTACTAGTATGTTTTACTTGAAATTCTTTCAAACACATACCAATATCTCATATATATATCGGTATATCAGAGATATACTAGTATGACATGTATGTTTTCTTTATCTAGTTTTTTGCACTTCACCTATAGTTCTTCTTTTGTCAAATGATTCTTGTGTACGAACTCCAACAATGAAGATATCGTTGATCTTCAGATGTTTTAGTTCAAAGCCCTAGAGAGATTCAAATCTTTATTTATATTTTGTCTATTTTAATATTTGTAATTATGATGAATAATCCTCCCTTGTAATTAGTTATATAAGTTCAAGTCTTAGAGAGATGTGTCTTCATTGATGGAGGTCTCGCTGATCTTCGAACGCCATCTCTGTTGACGGAGGTGTTTGTAATCTTCAACTTTACTAAGTGCATTGTCTATTTTCTTGATCTATGTTTGTCTTTTTGCTTTCAATGATAGACAATATTATCATTTGGCTGTAAAATTTAATATTAAATTAGTGCCCTGTCTTATGGTAATATATCAATATTTTTGAGATCTTTATTTAATATGTATTCTTGAAGGTTTTCAGTGAAAATTTCCTGAAAGTCAAATGATTGATTCCTGATCCACGTGTCCAAGTCTGGTTAGTGCAATCACCGCATGGAAGAGAGAGAAAGGGTAACAAAAAAATAAATGTCATTTAAATATTTAATAACCCCACCGACGGCAAATTCTCAATGCCGGAAGCCAGAAAATCTGGCTTCAAAGGCAACGGCACGTTTGGTCCATAAGTCTATTGGAAAAATTTCCTACCCAAATTCCAAACGTATATAGAATATGTCCCTGTGCGACAGAAACATGTCAGCATTACTGTTTTTTTTAAAAAAAAAATTGTTACTGTTGTTTTTAGTGTAGAACAAACAGTAACAAATGATTATATTTTATAAAAGAAAAGATTCTTTTTTTATCCAAATAGCTTTTAACATCCCAACCCATCGGTCAGAATGTTATCCAAATATAACCTTCAACTTTCGTTCACAGCCCCTCCCCAACGTCGAAGCTCTCCCCCTCCTTCTAGCTTCTGATACCCCTCGTCGCCGTCGCCTTCTCCGGCTAGACATCTCCGATCGGGTTTCGTTCATGGAATCCTCATCCTAATCACCGAACCATTGCTGGAGCTCTCACTATTTTGTTCTGCTACTGCTATTATCACAACCGGAGATTCCCTGCATCAAGAACTCCTTGGAAACATCGGAATCGCCGTCGTCGGAGAAGGTTAGATACTTCATACTCAGGCCCCTCTAACGGAGTTGATTTTGTGTCTGAATGAATTTTTCGTCAGCTTCTTTTCTTGCTAGATCTGTCGGTGCTTTCTTGGCATAGTTCTAATCCTTTTAAACGAAATTATTTGATTTGAATTCCGTGCTGCAAGCCTGCAAGTCGTGGTCAGTGTTTAATCCCCTGAATTCGATATTGACATTTCAAAAAGTGTTCAGTGTCCTATGTTTCATGGAAAGCACAAAGCAAAGGACATAATCGGGACCATGGTTCTGTTCTTGTGGGGTTACTGTTTAGCTCACAACGTGTTTAAAAATTGTGCTGTACACTTTTACTTGAATAATTTGTTTTGATTTAATCCATGTAAAAATTTGTTTTAACAGAATTAAAAAATTAATCATTTAATATTTATAATTTCAAGTCATTTGTAATCAAATTATTTAATTTTAACTCATCATAACTTAACATTTATAACTTTTACTTTATTATAATTTAATTATTAAGTTTTAAGTCAATGCAACTCAGTTTTATAATTTAAGTTATTTAAAATATTTGTCCCTCTATTTTTGAAAAGTAAAATTATAAAGTTAAAATTATTTTAAAATTTAGATATTAATATTTTAAATTAGTAAAAATTTTAATATTTATAATTTTATTTATCAAATATATAGATCAATATTTAAATTTATAAAATTGTAGGAACTAAGTTATAATTGAATCAAAATTATTAAGATTGAATTATAATGAGTTAGAGTTTAAAACTGAGTTATAATTGAATCAAAATTATTGAGATCAAATGATTAATATTTTCAGTTTAATTTATGTAGAATTCCAAATAAGTGAGGTACTTATAACATAATCATTCTTTTTTAAAATACCGAAAAGAAGTGATACATCAAAATTGATTCGCCTCATGTTTGGAACCAAAATCTTGAAAGGGGCTCGAGAGCAAAAAGCCCTGGATTAGAAAGATTTTTTTTTAATATATATATACAAGAAAATTTAGGTGAATTGAGTTTTGAAACTAATTAGGACAAGGGCATGCCCAGTGGTGGAGCTAGGACCTTGTGTTAGGGGATGAAATTAATTTTAAAAATAATAATTCAGAAATAATTATTTAATATTTTTTAAAAATAATCATATATTTTATAATTTTCCCCTACTTATCATCAAATGCTATTAAAAATATTCTCTTCCATCTAAGTCATTAACTTATTATATTGTTTATATATAAAAATGTATAAATACATAATCATTAACCAGAAACTTAAAGAAAATAAAATAAATAAGTATATTCTTTTCTAAAAAAAAAATCATATTTGAGTTTTGGATTTAGTGAATTCAAAACTGGACTTAAGTTAAAATATTCACAAAAGAAGGGCCTTTTAAGGGGTGCAAAATTTTGGGGCTAGACTTAAGTTGAAACATTAAAAAAGAAGGGTCTAGATTTTAAGGGTTGCAAAATTTTGAGACTAGAAAGAATAAAATAACAAACTCCATATTGCTTATTTGTAATTTCTTCCAAATTGAGGGGATGCATATACCCCTCCTCAAATATATGTGGCTCCACCACTTGGCATGCCTTTAGGCTCAAAACGCTTACGTGTTTACAAATTATCTATCAAAAATGTCCTCATATTGGTAATAGGATTTAATCACATGACTTTATAAATTATGAGCTAAATCCTTACCAAATAAACTATCTTTTCAGGGGTGGAAACATAGGGACAAGGGGAAGCCATGGCCCCTTCTAACTTTTTAATTTTTTTCTTTATAAAATGTAGGGATTCTATATTTTCGACCACTTCTAAATTAAAACATTATAGAAGCCTTAGACACTATATGAAATTCTCATTTCAATTCTGTATGTAGTCTTGTAGGAATGTATAATACAAATGTTTCAATAATTTGAAAATTTATCGTAAAATGCACTTATTTTTAACAAAATAATGCTACAGATGCTCTTAAAGCATTGGTGATTTGATGTTATTTGATTTTACTTTTATGTTATATTTGATAAAAGAAATTATGAGAATTATTACTAATAAATTTTGTCGAGCATTGTAACAAAAAATTTAAAATATATTAAATGTTTGTGTTTGATATCCATTATAAAATCACTTATCTAAAAATTTAGATATTATGATTAAGATATGTTTTTCTAGAAAAAAAATTAATTTTTCTATAATAACCAAACTATTGAATTTTATAATATGAATGGTTTTTACTGTGATTTAATTTGATTTCATTGATATAAACATTTAGGGTGAATTATTCATAATTATTATCAGAATGGGTTGGAGATGGTGCTGTGTCATGCTAGTTCTATTACTGTTTGCTCCTTTCATGGCTTCTTCACGATCAATTATCAAGAACTTACCTGGCTTTTCTGGTGACCTCCCTTTCAAGCTTGAAACTGGGTGAGTTTTTCCCCCCGTCTTTTGTGAAAGTAATATGTAATTATTTTTAGGGTGAATGATAAATTGGCTCATAAACCATAAATTATATTGTGCAGATACATAGGAGTGGGAGAAGAAGAGGATGTGCAACTATTTTACTTATTTGTGGAGTCACAAAGAAATCCCTCTAAAGATCCAATCTTACTCTGGTTTGTTGGAGGCCCTGGTTGCTCTGCCCTTTCTGCATTTCTTTTTGAAAATGGTACGTGCTTCAGTTTGTTCATTCATTTATTCATTTTTCAATATCTAAGTGAGATGGAAACCTTAGCCTCTATAGCACTTAACCCGGCCTCCTGCCAACCAGTAGATGGATATCTAAATGGGTTGGAAAATTTTATCTCAAAAGCTAGTTGTTAAGGTGGGAGAACCCACTCACTTAATTAAATATCATATAGAGTATCTCCTACTGCTAAAAGCGGAAAGCTTGGAAAATTTTATGGCCAAGCTTGAGAGTTTAAAAGATTTTCTTTATTCCGAACTTATTTGAGCCATTTGAATAAACTGAAGAAATATTGGCCAAAACCGAACTCGAATGGGTTAAGGCCGAATACCCGAATTCTTTTTTTTTTAATTATTAAAAAAATAATGTAAAAATTGAAAATATTAATTTTTTAAAATAAAAATTGAAGTTAGATAATAAAATAAAATTTAACAATTTGGGCCAATCTGAAAACATGAGGAATTAGGGCTAGGCTTTGCTGTATAGGTTTTTTTATACGGTTGGATACTTTTAAGCCTATTCCAAATTGAGTTTGACTTGAATTATTGGCTGTACTTATTACTTATTGTGGGACTTGATATCTCATACTATCAAGCCTCCATCACCTTCTTAATGCATTAATCTAAACTTATCCCTCAATCTGATTGATAAAGTTGCCCTGTCCCCCCTGTTGCTAATAAGTCATGTTAGTCCTCAAATATTTTGTGATATTTGACTCCTTTGCACTTCAAAAGTGAGGCACAGGAAGATAATTGTTAAATGGATTACAGAAGACATTATTGATTTTCATAGATTCACAAGGTGTTATTAGGATAAACTTCATCATCTGTGATTTACTCTGAACTTTGACCGGGATTTTTCCCCATTCTACAAGACTAGTTCTAGCATTTTAGGGGGGATTTTTTTTTTCCTTTGAAGAATATCCCCTCCATTAAAAAGTATAAGACATTTTTAACTAAATTACTCTCTCAATAAGTTAGTTAATTATCTTTAAATTGATACCATATCCATGCCCGCCCTTATTTAATAATATAATGTCTTACTTAAAGGTGAAGGGTTTTATGATTTATTTATTAAAGGTATTTTTGAAAAAAAAATCATTAATTATACATTAAAAAGCTAAAAATACTTTATATTTTTTTTTAATGGAGGGAGTAGAAATGTATAATTTTAATCTTATTGGATTTCAAGTTTGGATAAATAAGAACTGAGCAAAATCTTACTTTTTATTTAACAATTTGCAGGACCAGTGACATTTGACAGAGAATCCAGTGGGATTCTTCCAACACTTATATTAAACCCTTATGCTTGGACGCAGGTCATGATGTTTCTAAGTTCGAGCTTCCAAATTTGTATTGCTTTGCAAATCAATTTTATACTTCATTACCATCAATACCCTTTCTATTGCCTTTATTTTCATTTCCATGCTAAAATCATGACATTGTGTTGCTATTTTTTTTAATTCTAATACAACTTATATGGCAGAAAACTATAATCTCAACTTTTTCAGCAATTTTTGTCAGATTGGAGTGACTCTCTCTGTTATTGTTGTTGTTGAATGACTCTCCCTGTTAAGAGATATATAAGAGCCATTCTTCTGCTATGATATATCAAAATTATTAATCTTTCATTAAAAGCTTAAGTTTCTGAATTGAGATAAGAGAAAACAATCTTTTACATAGGCACTAATTAATGCTCTTGTTGATTAATTGCTTAGTAGTTCCTTCATTATTTCTATGGATAATGGAACTTTTATTCCCTTAAATTTATTTCAATTATCAATTTAGTCTCCCAAGTTTAATTTTTATCAATTTGGTCCCTTAAATTTGCTTCAATTATTGATTTGGTACTTATCATTTAAAAAATAGGTAACACTAATAAAATCTGCTAACATAAATAATGAGATATTAATGGTAGTCATGCATGTAGATTAATGAAAAAAAATGTAATTATTTAGGTAGGAAAAAACAAACCTAGAATTTAAAAACAAAATAAAACGTAGTATAAGCTACTAGATTGAGAAGAATTAAATTAATTTGAAGGTTAATTTGTTGTAATTTAACTACAAATATATGCCATGTAATCAATAGACTTTACATATTAGATTAATTTGACAATTAATTTGTATTTTAAAACTTAAAGGGCTAACATGATAATTTAAGAAAGCATAATAGACCAAATTGATAAAAATTAAACTTGAAGGATTATATAAATAACTAAGAAAAATTTAAGCATCTAAAAGTTTCATTATCTCTTATTTCTATTGCTTGCTGGTATGGTCTTTAAAACAGTAATTATTACTTATCTGGCATTTAATTGCTAGGTACTCAATGTCATGTACATAGATTTACCAGTTGGCACAGGATTTTCTTACTCACAAACACAAGAAGGCTACCACAGCAGTGATATAATGTGGATAGAGAATGCATATGATTTTCTGCAAAAGGTAAACACTTAATTGGCACCCAAAGTTGCCATTTAGCATAGAATTGTTGCCAAGCTTTCTAATATCTATCAGACATGGATCTGTTTTTTAATGGATAAACCGTGACAGATCCTTGTATCTAATTTTCAAAGAAGAAAGCAAATAAATGATGTATATTTCCTTTTATCCAAAATATAAGTAGCTTTTAACAACAATTTGCATACCAATCCTTATTCTCGTGAAAATATTATATTGTTTTCCTTTTTTACTCTTAATTCCAACCTATGATGAGTGAGAAAGAGGTCATACATTTACCAACACAAGAATCTAGATTAATAAATACAAGTGGTAAATTAAGAATTTTTTTACAAATACCAAGTTGTTTATATTTTGGACCAAGATTAGTGGAGAGAAAATGTTTATATATTTTACCAGAGGGGGTATATATGATGATATAGGATACAATTTATCTTCTTCTGATAATTTGTGACTAATGCAGTGGTTTATGGATCATCCTGAGTTTGGCTCAAATTCATTTTATGTTGGCGGTGGTTCATATTCAACTTTGCCTGCTGTTCCTCTTGTTAAAAAACTATATGAAGGTTAAACTGTTTCATTTTTGCTTCTACATGTAGCTACACTACTTTAGCCTCTTTTTTTTTCCTTGTTTAAATCTCTTCTATGCTTTTTTTGATTGGCAGGTTTCAGAGCAGGAGGCAGTCCACTCATAAATATCAAGGTAAAATAGAGATAGACTACTTATGTTCTACCCAGAGCTTTCATTTTCTCCAAATTGCCTCTCTAATGCCTTGTGAGTTGTGAGGCATCATATTCCAGACTGGTGCCTTTTGAGGTACCATATTCTATGTTAAGATAACATTCTCGAGTCATTGATAATAGGGTTAAATGACAAATTAGCTATTGAATTATAAGTCTAAAAGGTCTAGGACTCTAAACTTATTTTTGTTACAACATTCGAGTTTAACTTTTGAAAATGATACAATCTGAACCCTACTGCTAACAAAAGTTGACTTTGATTATTAGTTGTAATGCAGAAAAAAACTGCAAAAATTATAAAAAATTGACTTAAAAATTACAGAGAATGACCTAAATAAATACAGAAAAGAACAAAGAAAAAAAATTGGTCCTTTTTGTGTAATTTTTGAGGTCTTTTTTGTTATTTTCTAATCGATTAACAGTCAAAGTTAGCTTTTATTAATGGTATGGGTTAATTTGCATTGTTTTCAAAAGTTGAAGAGGAACATTGTATCAAAAATAAGTTTAGAATTTCAGACGTTCTTAGACCTATTGTTTAGGGGTCAGTTTGCTTTTTTAACCTCGATAATAATACTAAAGTTGAATATGATGCCTCATGAGGTATTGGGTGAGAATTTTTCTCTATTTTTCTTGGCTTAATTTACATAAAGCACTGCCTTTTGCATATTATTTATGACAACAAAATATCACTAACTCTCAGCTAGCCTTAGGGTCTTGTGCTTGCCAGCCCATCAACTGATGTGTTTCTGGATATGAACTCCCGAATTGTTTATGCACACCACCTGGGTCTTATATCAGATGAGCTCTATGAGGTTATTTTATTTTCCTATTCATGCATTCATTTCATTCAAAGCTGATTAAGTTTTGTCTGTCTTAATTATGATAGTAACTTACTTAAGAAATACGGATACGGGTATGTGTTGATCAGGTATGATACAACATGATACATTAAATATGGTGATTTTCAAATTTTTTAAGATACAGGCATGGGATAATATATATGTTATATGTTTTAATATTTTAGGGGATAGGTAAGAGTATCTTGATGTTTAAACAAATAATAAAATGATTTTTATAATAATAAACCAAAATATTAATTTTTTTAAGTTTTTAATTAAGTTTTGTACAAAAACATTTTGACAAAAAAAAAATAGTAATGCAAATGATAGAATATATGATAAGTATCATGAAGTACATGGCGCATATCATACGGATACATATCAAATACAACTATGTTTACTTTTTTGAAATATCAATGCCTTTCTGTATTTATAAGATTGATTAGGATGGGTATATATGCTTTTCACATGTATGTCTAAATTGAGCTATTTTAGAGAGAGATCTCAATGATTCCTAACTGTTGATTTGTCTTACCTTTAGATGCATTTCAAGATCAAGATTCTATCCTTTTTAGTTTCTTGGCTTATAACTATAACTCAATCAATGAATTATTGTAGTGAAATAGTGACAATCTTTTGATACATATCTAACAGTGGGAAACTCAATTTCAGGATCAGTGATTAAACTCAAGGAATTACCTTTCTGAAATTAGTTTGATATCTTTTTCTGCAGTCAATTAAAGCAAGTTGTAATGGTGATTATGTCAACATGAATCCAAACAACACAAAGTGTGCCTCTGATTATGAAGCTTACTCTCAGGTTTTTATAAAACCTTCCACGCTAGTCTCAGGTTCTTTTGATCATTATAATTACTATATAAAAAGGAAAAACTAAGTGTATAAACTATTCATTAATTTGCAGCTGGTTCGTTACATAAACATAAATCAAATTTTGGAACCTGTTTGCATAACTACTCCTAATAACAATGAAAGAGCTCTCTTGGAAGATTCATCTGAAGGGATCCTCCAATCATTCTGGTGTCGTGTATGTGAATTTTAGAACGTTAAATACTCACACTTGCTTGCACGCGCACGTTCACGTTCCTTTTAATTTGGAATTTACTTGTAGGGTTATGATCACATACTTGTGAACCAATGGGCAAATAATGAGGATGTTAGGAAGGCTCTTCAGATTAGAGAGGTAAGAATCCACTTAGTATTGATTATTATATATTAAAACTAATTCAAGATTTAACTAAGAATTTAATTTTATAATGCCTTTTTATTAGGGAACTAAAGGGGAGTTCTTGAGATGCAACAAGAGTTTATCATACAAATTTCATCTACAAAGTGTTGTTGATTATCATCGCAATTTCACTAAGACGAACCTTCAATGTCTTGTATACTGGTAAGTTTCATCATCCATGCTTTTTCTTGAGCAAGTCAATGTTACTGAGTCCCACATGCGGAAAGTCTCATTTAAAAAAGAGATTTATAAGCTATTGGGGTCTCCTGCTTATTATGCTAGTCTTTTAGAATAAATTCTTCCTTTGAACTTATGCCATAACATTAGAGTACTAATTTTAAGAGTTAGTTTGGCTCATGTGCTATACTTCCTCCATACCACAATATAATGCATCTTCTAGAAACCTTATTTGGTCCAAAATATAAGGCGATGGATAACTTTTATAATTATTTTTTCAACTATACTCATGCTTCATTTATTACTCTTTATAAAAAAATTCATGCATTGTAATTTTAATTACTAGTATCAAAACTTTTATATAAGATATTTAATGAAGTTATAATTGAAAAAATGTAAATTTTTTTTAAAAAAATTAAGGTTTCAACTAATATTTTTTGAACTGTGAATTAGTTATCAACGCTCTATATTCTAATTCAGAGGGAGTATATAGATTTCATTCATTTATTGAAGCATGGATTAGATTGACCAATATACTCCCTCTGTTTCTAAATATAAGAGAAACAGTCAGTGTCACTTGTTTTATTTTTTATGCAAAATCACATATTCCCTCATTCCCAAATTAGAAGACACATCACATATATCAATAAAACTCATTAAATACAGTTTAGAGCTTATATTTTTCAAAATAACAATATAAATTTTTAAAAATACCCTTCATTTAATACTCAATTTATGAAAGAATATTAAAGAGAGAGAATATAATAAGAAGAATAATATTGAAAAAATATCATTATTGAAATTTTATTTTTGTCAAGATATTTTATATTTTGGGATGTTGAATCTTTTTTAAAAGTGTCTTATAATTTGGAATGGAGAAAGTATTTCAAAAAGCATTTATTCCTAAATTATCCCTCATAAAATCCATATTTTCATTCACCAGACAAACAACGAATACAACCTTATTTTGATTAAATATTAACATGGGGTATTTTAGTTTAGTTTTTTATTTTCAAATACAATTATTATAGTTAATCGATTTTTTAAATTATGTGATACAATTACTTTCTCTTTTACATATACATTGGAACCGAGAGAGTATCTTTTAAGTATAGATCCTTTGAAGCTCATTGTTGTAGGTTCCTTTTAACCTACCTTCCTTTAAAGTTCTATGCTCATAACAATCAAACTTGGAGCATATATGGTGTTAGCTAGCCTTCATGCTCAATAAAACCAAACCTTCTTCAGATCAGTTTGAACTTTGTGAGCAATTACCGGTCAACTTCCACCATAATCCGGGACTTCCTTTCCTTCACTTTTTGTAGGGATGTAAGCAGCACAATGACCTGATATGTCCAGCCTTGTCCAAACCATTTAGGCTCATCGTACCGAGCATCAAGTTAAAATCCAACCTGGCCCGGCCCAAACATATATATATATATATTTAAAAAAGGGTACAAAATAATTGTTTTATAGTATCATATTTCTTAATATGTTACATGTAACATCTTGTTTTTATAGTTGTTATTGATATTTTATATGATTTTAGTTTTTTTAATCATTTTCAAAATTTTAAAAATAATTTTTAACTTAATATATAAAATGATAAATCATTTTAAAGTATATATAGTTTTAATAATTATTTCATTCGGATAATTTTATTTTTTTGTTGATACAAAAAACAACTTTTTTCCATTCCTTTTAAAATAGTTTTAAAATTTTGAGGTTGGGCCAAATCTGCCTTGAACAAACGAGCACTAGGCTAGCTTGAACAATATATACATTGGGCTGGCAATGGACCAGGGTGATGCCTAGCCCGGCTCTCTGTGCACTCCTATTTTTTTTTTATATTTGTTATATTTAAAAATGTTGCAGTGCAAGTTTAGGAATTTCTGGCCAAAAAATAAAAAATAAACAGCCATGTTATTTATTTATTTTTGTATGCAAGACAGACAAAAAGTAGCAAAATCTAAAGCAAACAACTATCACATTCAGAACATGAATGAATTCCTTATAAAATCTACAACCAATGTTCGAAAAGAAATTCTTGAGAATTCTGTACCTTAAACAGTAATCCCCCATAAACTTCCTTGGTCCCAACTTCCAAGATTGGCTACAATGAGATTATGGATATAGAAAGTTTTTGATGTTATAGCCCTGTTACTCCAATGAGATTGTTATCTTTTTACAGAAAGTCAACACTTGACTATAATATTTTCAGAAGCTAAATTTCTTTGGGGAAATTCGCTGATGTTTGAACTCCTTATCACAGTGCTGATCTTGACTTGGCAGTACCACATATTAGTACACAAGCTTGGATTAAGTCTTTGAACATGAAAATTGAAGATCCTTGGCGTGCATGGTTTGTTGATGGCCAGGTTGCAGGGTAACTAGTCAATTTCATTCATCATTCTATCCATTTTTCAGCTTTAAAGTGTTCAATTACATTATTACTCTCTCTGTTCAAAAATATAAGACATTTTTAGTTTTTCGAGATGTAATCATTGCCCTTTTTCAGAAGTGCCCCTATTGATAATGACTTTATATTTATTATAGGGTGTTTAATAGAAATAAATATAAAAAAAATAAGGTTAGTTTGAAAGTAGGTAACTATTTTATAGGAGGTAAAATTCAATTAAAAATATTTTACATTTTTAAATAGAGGAAGTATTGTTTAACAGTTAAGACTAGTGCATGATAAACGTTTAGATAAACATTTAGACCCTAAATAATATTTTTTTGGTTGCATTGTGCAGCAGGTTCTTTTAATTTTATTTGTTTAAAAAAAAACAGTTCTACTTTAAAAAGTTATAACATAGTATATATAATATGATCACTATTTTATTAAAAATTATTACTTTTATTGTAAAATTAATGTTAATAGAATTTGTAAAAATAAATGAAATTGCGATGTTTGCAATTGTGAATAGTTTGATTAAACTAATTTTGAATTCAACTAATCGCCCCTAGCATCTGAATGCACTTAAAGTTTTAACTTGATGCAATTTTTTTTTAATCTTTTTGTTATTGGTTCAGTTCTTTAATTAAAACGTGATAAGTGTGAGGTTTTGGTAAATGAGTATATGATTTCTTAATTAAGTTACAGGTTTACCATATTTTAATTGAAAAATTAATAACAAATATATATATATATATATATATAAAACAAATATAATCCTTATGATATTTGTATATTTTATACTGTCCCATCTCTGCTTTTATATTGGATGCAGATACACACAAATCTACAAGAACCATAACTACTTCTTGACATATGTTGCTGTGAAAGTAAGCAAAACCCTCAACACTTAGCTTCATTCAGTTGATTATATTCTCTTTGTTAGATTTCAAGTCTATTCATATATGGTTAATTGATTTTCTAATTTTTGTTTGATATAGGGTGCTGGTCATGTAGCTCAATCATATAAACCTAAAGAAGTTTTGCAAATGATAGACAGGTGGTTCTCATATTCCATTATTTAAGTAAGGGTCAATTGGGCTTTTTTATGATCTCAAGTCCAAAATGTCGATCCATGGGGCGGGTCAGGCCGAGCCCTGGGTTAGGATGATCTCTTATTATATGAATAATTGAGATTAATTTTTATAAGGTATTTATTTATAATTTTTAGATCATTTTTGTTGTAATTTTTAAAATTTTTATGTAATTTTATATGATCAAGGTTACTATTTGTTAACAATAAAAGCAATTTATATCATTTTTTAATTATTGAAAGGGAACAATACATCAAAATAAATATGAGGATAACTGACACTTTTGTGTAAATAATTGTGAGATAATAATGTCCTTTCATTTTTTGTTTCCTCTTTCTTCCTCTTATTGTACTTTTTGCACCACACACGGTGTAAAATAATTTATAAGGGTGTTTGGAGTCCACATCGGACACCCCTTACCTCAAGTAAGAAATGAAAAAAAAAAAAAAAGAAACATCCCTTAAGAGTGTTAAAAAGTAAATTCTCTAAAAAAAATTATTTATATAAATCATTAAATGGAATAAGGCTAGCTTAGACAATAAAGATAAGCTAAGTTATGGGTAAAAGTTGAAGAGTTCAATCAGAAATTTGGTTCAAATGGTAAGAAAATTATCAGTTTAATTAAAAATTTTGAGTTTGAGTTTTGAAAATATATATCAATAACATTGGTGGTAAAACTTCCACTAGAAGGGGTCCTAACCCACCATGATCTGAATTGATTTTGGCTTTCTTAAAATTCTTCAACTCAATGTGAGGCAAATTTAAGACACTAGGTGTAGCATGCCAAAAAAAAAAAGAAAAATAGAGCTCAAAATCTCTTGATCAATAAAAAGAAGGAGGACTTCATCCATTGCCCAATGATGTGACATGTTTTCAAATCATACCAATTCAACATGAATTTTTTCTGCAAGCTGTTAGGCTTGAATTAAAATTAAATTTTAAAATAAAATTACCAAAATATCATTGTTTTTTCAATATGTTGCCATGTAACAAGTATTACAAGGGAATTAAAAAGTAAAAGTTAAGTTTTTAACAAATAATGTAATTGATTTTACAAGTTAACATCTTAATAAGTAACGAATTTAACTTGCTACATGAACTTTACAAGTAAAGTTAAGAAATTAATAAATAATATAAAGAAATAGACAAGTAAAATTAAAAAATTAACAAGTTTTTTTTACGGATTAGTAATCAAGTTTGCTATAACATGTATGATGTAACAAGTAACATAGGAAAATTAGCAAGTAAAGCTTTTAACAAGTAATATAATTGATTTTACAAGTTATGGTAATAGTTTAACAAATAACATATTTAATTTATCACATGGATTTCGATTGTTAATTAATTACATTGCTTATTAATTCCCTTATGTTACTTGTTGTAATGAAACATCCTAAGAGAAGGATATTTTGGTCATTTTATTTTAACATTTTATTTCAACTTAGGCCTAATATTTTGCAATGAAATTTCATATTATATCAGGTATGATTTGAAAATATTTCACATCATTGGTCATGGGATGAAATTCTCCCATAAAAAACCTTGTTTGCATAGTTTTTTTTTTTTTAAAAGCTCAATTTGGTTACAAACATATATCTTTTAATAAATCCTATCTAATGTATTGTCGAGCACATTTTTCAACAAGAATTTAAATCTTTATTTGTTATTTTATAAAAGAGTGACTTCTTCTACTAAACCTAATTTTAGTAAGTCACAAGACTACCATTTCTACTTTCCATCCATGTACCTTAGTCTGATATTTATGTCATTTGGAGAGAAACTGGGCCACGTTCATGCCAAACAGACCTTGCATTTGGCAAATCCAATGCCTCACATTTTTACATTTTGTTTTTATATGCTTGATCTTTTTGATAAATTTCAATTCGACACGTTCTTTCCCTTCTTCGCATATTCGTGGACCATACTTAGGGAGGCCTAAAAGGTCTGTTCAAGTCGTGACGATGTAAATTTATTCGTTTGACTTGTTGAATCCGTACAAGTTTGGGAATTGATGAAAAGGGTGACATTGGAGGACAAAATATAAGGCCTGTTTGAAAACCTATTCTGAAAACAGTTTTCTATTCTCCAGAACAAAAGAATAAAATAATTCATTTGGTAACGTATTTTTAAAAAATATTTTGGAGAATAAAAAAATAAAATATTGTTCTGAAGAACAGAAAAATGAAAACAATTTTTAAGTGTTCTATAATTATTGTTCTGGAGAACAGAAAAAAAAACACCTATTTTTATTGAAAAACACATATTTTTATTATTTTTTATTCTCAAAACATATTCTACAGAACATCAGTTTTCAAAATAATAAAATAAAAATAGTTTCAAACAGCCCCATCTCTCTCCCCTCTTAGGGTAAATTTACATACTTTTAAAATATATTTATTAATTATTAATTACTAATTATTAAAAACATTAAATTTATTTAAAATAAATATATATTTTAAAATGAGTTAAATAACAATTTGACTTCTAAATTGTAGGTCAAAGGACATCTAGGACCCAAATTTTTTTTAAAGAATTTTTTTTTACTTTTAAAAATAATGCAATGTAATTTTTATTATTAAAAATTAATTTTAACTGTTAGTTGACCATAAATTGATAGAAAAAGATAAAAATTAGAGAAAAAAATCAAAAAAATTCTAAATTTTTTAAATAATTATTTGTAGTTTTTGGGTTTTTTATTTTTTATAATTTTCTTGGTTTTTTTATTATTTTCTTATGAAGTAATTGTCAAATTTAATTATTATTGATGATAGGGGTTACATTGCACCGTTTTTAAAAGTTGAAGGGAACTGAGTTTAGAATCCTGACACTTTAAACTTATAATTTAGGATTAAATTGGCCAATAACCCTTTAAAAATTATTATTAATAAAAATAAAAAGGAGTTAATATATTATTGTAAAAAATGTTAATAAATACTAAAAATTAATTAGACCTATTTAATGAATAAAAATATACTACTATATATATATATATTAAAAATATCGCATTTCACCAATAGAAGCTAGATCTAATAGAAAGGGTTAATCTCTCACAACTTGATAAATCAAAGTTCAAATCTTGTTGGCAAAGGTGTTCATATTTAGTGTTTAACCTTACCTCAAATATGATTGCCTTTAATAGAAAGATACCCATGGGTAATAAAATAAAAATAAAAATATCACATTTCTAAACTAATACATATGGGAAATTTTAGCAAGGCCCTTTGACTTAATTTAATTCCAACTAGAGACCTTAATCTAAAATTTCATTGCACATGGGGGCGACCGAAATAAAATTAAAGAACAAATTGAAATGACCTCTTTGTCTCTAGTAAAACTAGACACATGAACAACTTGTGTAGAAAAAATAAATAATTGATGTATGAAAAATAAATAATTAATGTAGATAAAATTTGCAACTTTTATTAACAACATAACACTACTATAAATTTACAACTCTCATTTCACTCACGTCAATTGTTCATTTTTTATACATAAGTTGTTCATTTTTTTTATATGAGTTGTCCATGAGCCCAATTTCACTTGTATATTCATGGTGATGTTATGCTATTAATGAGAGTTATAAATTTCACCCATGCTATTTGTTCAAATTCCATACGTTGCTTATTCATTTTTCATATATCACTTATTCATTTCACTAAGGATAATAAAGTTATTTCAATTAGTTCTTTAATTTATTTTAGTCCTCCACATGTGTAATAAAATTTCATCATTTTATAAACTTTGATTGAAATTAAATTGGATCAAAGGGTCCTCGCTGAAATTTTTCCTCCATAATTAATTAGACGGAGAGAGAGCCAGAGGGTAAATAATATTTTTTTATGTAAGGATCAATAATGTTTTTAAAGTACATTAATAAGTGCCAATGGTTGGATGCAACATAATTGAGAATGCAAAAGCTTCAAAACTAGCTTTTAATCCAATTAAAATTAGCGTGAGTGATAAATATTCTTATCACTTTAGCAAATAGTTTGGGATTCTAACCCCTACCCTTGTAAATGTATGAATTTAATTGGAAGAGATTTATTCATTGCTTTCAAGACCCTAGGGAAGATATTTTGATATTTTCTACTATTGGCTAAGCCTATTTTAGTCATGTAATAAAAATATATTTTATATATCAACAATTTCACCTTTTTATTTAATTACGATCGACAACTTTAGTTTAGTAGTTAACAATTTTAATTTAAGCATTAATAATACAATTACTTTCTCGTATTAACAACTTTACCATGATGATTAACAATTTCAGTTTAAATTTAATAATGCAGTTGATCCTAACTTCAATTTAATCATATAATAACAATTACACTTCCTATGTTAATAACTTTACATTGTTATAAACAACTTTAATTTAGATTTTAACAACTAAGCTTTCTATTATTTGTTAAAATGTCAAAAATTTAATTTTATAAAAAAAATTATGACAAATGAAATTTCAGGGTGTTCGAAATAATTACCTCACATCATTTCGTGATATTGTTTTGTCATTCACACATAGAATTTATTTGTCATTTTCGCTTTATAAAAAGCACCGTCTATTCATTTATTTTTTTTAATATAAAAAAACGAAGGGGTAGATGGATGTCATGTGAATTGAATGCTTGGTGGCTAAGGGAGGAGTGGGGCAGCACCAAACCCACAATGGACTTGGCACCGTCCATAACCATTAACTATGTGGGCCATACCCACCGCTATGACATCTTTACCCTTAGAAATTTTCATAAATTATAGTTCAGCCCTAACTTGAAAGTAGCCTAACCAAACTAACTCACTAATTGGATTAAAGCTCGGGGCAGTTCGTCAGTTTCCAGTAGAGGTTGGAATATGCCAAGTTTTGACCGAAACATACTTGATCCTGTAAGGTAGAATTCAAACTTGAGCTTGTATTTAAGTTTTAGCTCAAGCCTGAGCCTACAATAGGTTAAGGCTTTGGCTTGACTTAAAACCTTTTTAAAGACTTATTTTATATATAAATAAGTTTTTAAAAAAGGATTTTAAATTTTCAAAATCTTTAAATGAAGTAGTAAACTTTGAACTTACCAAAGTGTAAGCTTCAAAGCCTACCTTAGATATTTTAAATTTTAAATAAATTTAAAGACTTAAAACTTATTTAAATATAATATAATATATAAAAAAATATAAATATATCTAAATAGACCAAGTTCACATATTTACAAGCTAGGCTTTAGAAAATAAGGCCTAACTTGCTTAGATATATATGTGCGCGCGCGCGCGCTCCTCTTGAGGCCTACTAGACCCTAATTAGGAAAGGGTGAAGACAAGAGGACTAGCAGGGACTATGGCCTCTAATTTTTTAATTTTTTTAGTAAAATATAGGGGTTATATGTTTTTTATTATTTAAGTTGACACATTATAAAAGTCTTAAAATGTTAAATGAAATTCTCATTTCAATTCCATAGTAATCTTTTATACATGCAAAGTTTGACTATTTTAGTAACTTAAAAATATAGCTGTTATAAGATTTATTTATTTTCAACAATATGATATTACAATTACTCTTCAAGCATTGCTATTATTTGACGTTACTTTTATTTTATATTTGATTACTGAAATTATGAGAATTATTATTAATAAACTTTGTCAAGCAATGGAACAAAAATCCAAAGATATATTAAATGTTATATGCTTCATATCAGCTATAAAATTAATTATCCAAAAGTTAAGAAGTTATGGTTAAGATATATTCTTTTAGAAAAGAATTACTTTTTTCTATAATAATCAAACTATTGAAATTTATTATGTGAATGATTTTTACTATAATATATTTATATATCTCTTCAACATAAAAAATTTATAACAATTGAGCATTATTATCATGTTCACACACACACAATAAATAGTAAATTTAGTAGGTAAGTAATAGAGATTTTTAATTTAACAGAATTTTAGATCTCAAAGATATATTTAAATTATTCAATGCTCATGGAAAAGATGAAATTTTTGTCAATTTAATGATAGTTTATATTGAGAAAAAAATTACTAAAAATTTAAACACAGACATAATAATTAATTATTCTCATGCCATGAAAAATTGATGAAAAAATTTAAAAAATAAAGTATATATTTATTTTTATTATATATATACACATGTAAAATTGAACATAAATATATATATTGAAATATTTATGTTATACTAGTGATATATATATATATATATATATATATGTATGTATGTATATTCGATTTTTTTTAATTATTACATATATTTTTTTATCTCAACCTTCCTTAATAAAATTTGCTGACTCCACCCTTGTAACTTGGTCAAGTTGTAAGTAACTTAGTAGAGGCTTGGCTGGCGTACCCCGACCCTTAGACTTTCCAGTTTAGTTTTGTTTTAGAATATTGCCATTTTATATATTTTATGTTTTGTCTTTTATGGTATTTCACATTGTTTTCCTTAGGCTTTAATGTGATGTAATAAACTCGATGAATTAAATAGTCGATATCTCTTTTTATGATATAATTGGACACATACTTAATGAAATGTATTGAATTTGTTATTAATGTGTAATATTTACAATGAAAAAGATTAGTTTTTATTATATAAAAATGATGTGATGTTTCCTGTATTTATATTATTATTTAATACAGAGTCCACCTGTCTATTATTTTTATATGGAGACGCACATTTTATTTTATTTTTTAATCATCCATATAAAAAGAGAAAATCACCATGAAATCCTTAAAATATCCAAAAGCCCCACTAAATCCAAATACGTCCATTGGTCCATGGAGATTTATGAACGAAAAAGATTGGAATGATGAGGACCAAGATGCTCATGTTACATGATAGAAAATGATTTTAAAAATTATAAAAAGTAATATTTGTGAAGTTATTTTTTAATTAACTAATGATTAAAGTTAATTTTTATTAATAACAAGAGTCATATTACACTATTTTTAAAAGTTAAAGGAGCAATTTGCACAGTAAATATGTTTAGGATTTATGATACTATTTGACCTAAAATTGAAAAATAATTTGCTCATTTATCCAACTACAAACAAATAAAAACACAAAATAACATTCCCTTCATTCAAAAATATAAAGCATTTTTTAAGAAATTGAATATTAAAAAATATAAAAAAATTTTAGTCTTTTCAGATTTAATCATTGTCTTTTTTTCAAAAATACCCCTATTGATAATGACTTTATATTTATCATAAGATGTTTAATAGAGATAAATATGAAAAGATATGATTTGTTTGAAGTAGGTGACTACTTTATTGAGGGTAAAATTCAGTTAAAAATACTTTATATTTTTAAATGAAGGGTGTATAATTTTGAGCATTGAAATTTTATAAAATGAAAACAAATTCTAGACCCATTTAGAGTCTGTTTGATTACTTGTTTTCAGAATAGTTTTTTTTAAATAAAAAACCTGTTTAAAAATGTATTTTCTGTTATCTATTTAGAAAAACAAAAAAATTAGAAATTATCCTGAAAAATAAAAAAAAAACCAAAACCTCTTTTAAACATTTTGTTACTTTTTATTCAGTAAAACTAGAGAAAAAATATAAAATATCATGCTTTTATCAATGATAATAATGTTAATAAAATAAAATATTCTTTCACCATTTATTTCATCATTTCAGATATATTTTTTAAAATAATGATTCAAACCAATTTTTTTCATTTTATATTTTCAAAACTTCTTCTGAAAAATATTATACATAATTATTTTAAAAACATAAATGCAAAAAAAAGGACCAAACCAGCCCTCACTTTTCACCGGTTCTGTTGAGCAAGAGAAAGAGAAAGTAACATAAGTTGCAGTGTAGAGCAGGAACCGGAGGGAAAGAGCAGTGAAAGACAAGAAGGAAGGACTTGACCAGGTTCCAACTGACAACTGCCCGCCACCAATTTTTAATTCTCATAAATAGAGAGAGAACGAGAGCGAAAACGAGTGGTTTCGCTTGGGAATGTTACGTCAAAAAAATGCCGTTCACACAATGGTCGATTCTTTTTGTTGTAATTTAATTTAATTTAAAAAAAATGACATTAATTTTTTTAAAATTATATAAATAATAATTTAACCTATCAAAATATCTTGTAATAAAATTTTTAAAAATTTTTTTATCAATAAACTTTAAATTAAAAAATATTTTATTTTTATTGATAAAAATTTAATTTTTTATTTATTTTGCATAATTTTTAAATAAAAATTATTTTTTTAAATATAAGTTGTGATTAAGATTTATTTTATAATAATAAAAATTATATTTAATAAGTTGTAATTTTTTAAATAAAAATTATAATTAAAATTTATTATTTTTAATTAAGATAAAATAATTTTTTATTTTAAAATTTATTAATAAAAATATCTCTTAAAATTTTATTGAAATCATAACTTTTAAAAAATTAAATTATTATTTATATAATTTGAATGAATTTATTGTTATTTTTTCTTAACTTAATTAGATGCAACTACCCCGCACGCTTGCGTTTATGCGTTTTCTCCTTCCTCTTCTTCGTTTTCCTCGTCCACTTTCTTTCTCGCGTACCAAGCTGCCTCCGAATTTTCTCCCAATTTCTAGGGTTTCTGATTTGTTTTCTAATCAGAAACCTTAGCTACCTTCTCCGGTCTCCGTCCTCCTTCCAGCTTCTCTTTTTCTTGCTAAATTTCAGGTTGCGTTGCTTCTCTTTCTATGCACCGCTCTGCTTCTCAGAATTCCCTGTTTGGGGCGTTGAATGAAGCTAATTTGGTGACAAAGCATTGAAAACGGGTGTTTGCTGTGTTTTCAATTCAGTGTTGACTAATTATCACATCGTCTTTGCATTCCTTTTTTTTTTTTTTTGGTGGTGGGAGGGGTTGGCCTTGCTGCTCTTAGTTCTTATTTGGGTTCGTTTTATTCTTTTTTCTGAGCTGAGTCTTGACTTACTATTGCACTTGGAATCAATAGTAATCAAATGGATTAGCAGAGTGTCCTTTGTTTGACATTTGAAGGATTAAGAAAGGAAACGAGGAACTAATAGCTAAGCAATCACTGATGTGGTTCTAAGGTTTCAAATGCACAATGCCTTTGTTGTCAGAAGGTTTCCTTCTTCCAGAAAGTACAACAAAGGGTTCTGTTAAACTCTGGCATTTGCCTATTTACACTTTTCATTGTAAATGTGGCACCTCTAGTTGGAAACTTGAATGCTGAAGTTTTCAATAAGGCTAGGATTTGGAAGGACAAAAGTTTGGTAGATTGTTGTGTTTGCTATTAAGTTGTCAAATAAAAATATAACACATGGAATTTGTTTTTTGCGAAAATCCCAACAATATGGCGTTGAGCTGATTTAAATATCCACGCGATATGTTGCTATTGAAAATTAGATCTTAAAATCTCACTGAAATGTTGTCCAATTTAGAAACTGCTGTTAACATATGTTACAACAAACAAGAGTTTTATTTAACGCTTTTGCACGTTACTAAAAAGCATAAACTGTTATCATTGTCCGTATATTTTTCAGTTGGACTTAAGTACGCATTAGACTATACTTAAGTTCAACCAAAATTTTGGACTAAGCTGTATAGGGGGTGAGATCTGTCAAAATACTCATGGAATGAGAGGAGTGTCTCCATTGGGTCTTTCCCTGGCACATTTGCATGTGCTATAAGTGCAGCTTCTAAGCTGGTAAACTGATGATTTCAGAATTTTTCTATACTGGCCTTTCTAGACATGGTAGATTTATTTTGTAATTGATTTAGGATTAATTTTTGTCTTCTTGGTGTTGGTTTACTTGTATTCTTCTTTTATGTTTGTCTATCCAGAACTGTGCCACTTGAATTTAGTTTTGACTATCACGTGAATGAAAATATGAACGTCCATACAACCTAATGATAGTGGTTGCAAGCAAAAGTTCATGACTCACAGGACTTACATTCTCACATCTTTTGCCAGTTTCCTTTCACTCATCTGCACCACCATGTCGAGTTTGGAGGAACCACTCGGTCTTGACAAATTGCCAAGCATGAGTACCATGGATAGAGTTCAGAGGTTCTCATCAGGTGCTTGCCGTCCCAGAGTAGATAATTTGGGCATGGGAAACTGCTTCATTGAGGGCCGAAGTTGCAGCACATCTAATAGCTGCAAGTGAGTTATTATAAATTTTCTCACAAGTCAGAAACTTGACTGAAAATTAGTGCAATATTATTAAATCTCTTTTTCGTCATTTTTCTGTGACACAAACATATTACATTCTATTTGCTGCTGCATGTGTGAACAGATTTTTAGATTTTTACATATAATTTGCCCTTTTCTGCTCGCTACATCCATGACATGACCTTGTATATGTCCTTTTTCAGCGAAGATGATGAAGATTATACAGTGGAGACATTTCCATGGAAGAGACATACTAGGGACATGTCCCGAGGGGGCTCCTATTGTCAAAGGGCAACGAGTTCCGGAAGGAACTCAGTCAAATTTGGAAAAACTGATGATTTTTGCTTTTCAGATTGTCAGTATAGTCCCAAGTGTAATCACAAAGACATACAAGAAATGACATACAAGGTGATTTATGGATGCAGTAATTTCCTTTCAAGTTTCTGGCAGCTAATGAATAATTTTTTACCTCTGCTTTTATAACATTTAAACTTCTTTTCATCTGTAATTTTATCATTTTTCTTTACTTGGCTCGTGTCCAATGTTCAATTATTCATTCGATGATGCAGTTTCTGAAAGGAATACCAAAATTTGTAAAGATAGTAGAAGTTGGTCCAAGGGATGGATTGCAAAATGAGAAGGATATCGTACCTACAGCTGTAAAGGTTGAATTGATACATCGACTGGCATCTTGTGGGTTGTCTGTTATTGAAGCTACTAGTTTTGTATCTCCCAAATGGGTCCCACAGGTATGATGGGCTCAGAATTTTGCCTTATTCAATGTTTCCTGATATTAAAAGGCTTTAGGGTGTGATTGTTCTCTCAAAAACTTATCCAAGATTCATATATCTCTGAGGTTCATATATCTTACGCTAGTTCAAAATTTGATAGATGAAATGGTGTTTAGTGTTTAGCTTGGACGTCATAAATAATTTTAATCATAAAAATGCTTAGTTCCAAATTAATCATGCACAAGATGACTTAACAATGCTGGAATAATGATCTTTGTATTTTATTTTTAAATGCAAAGTGGAATCAAAAGGCCAATTGTGACTATTTAACATATCATTGTATTTTGTCACTGCTTAATTGCAATATATGCAGCTGATTCAATCATAGATTTTAAAAATTTTGCATTAGCACCCAAGGCTAAGGGGTATTTAATTGTGTTATGGGGAACTTTGGCATAATTCTCCCTATTTTTAGCAACATTGACTGTTAACATTCAAAACACAGGATAAAATCTTAGCAACAAAGAATTCTGATGTTTTGTTTTTGAAGAAAAAAAAAGGGTCAAGGAACCTGTTGGACCGAGTACTAAGCCTGCTTGAGATATATCATGCATCATATGCAAGGGAAAAGAGTTCAATAATAGTATACTGCTTTTTAACATTCCAGTTCTCTTTGAAGGAAAAGCTGGTCTCTTATATGTTACCCTTTATCTGGTTTACTTGGTCTTCAATTAAGATTCAATTCTAGAAGTCAACAGAATGCATCTTTTTCATTACTTCAATTTAATCTTGTCAAAAAATTTTCTAATTATTTCAAAAACCATTTAAGAATTGCATTGCTTTATAGTGGCATGCCTTGTATAAACTCAGTTAAATAAGATTAACGCCTTATTCCCATCACTTTAAAGGAAACGCATACAACCTTTTTGTAGCTATGTCTAAACTGGCTGGCTTTTAATGTTACTTTTCCTTTTCATTTCAATGCGCAGAGATTCCATTTTATTAGACTTTATTAACTGGGTCTATGAAAACCATTTTATTTTACAATATGCTTGGTGTACAAGTTTAGTCTTTCCTTCCATTTCCAGGGATGCCATGAGTTCTGACCATTATCCTTCCTTATGCTTAGGCTATCCTAAATTAGTGCTTTCTTTGATTGTACATTTTTTCTTTAACAAACTTGATTTTGTTTGACTCGTACCCTCATGGATATCATTTAATTTCTGTCTTTCAGTTGGCTGATGCAAAGGACGTAATGCAAGCAGTTCATAACTTAGAAGGCATCAGATTGCCAGTTTTGACTCCTAATTTAAAGGTGCATACATCTAGAATAAATGTAGAAAGGAATATTTAATTTTAGATCCCTGACCTGCTACAATTATAGGGCTTTGATGCTGCCATAGCAGCTGGTGCTAGAGAAGTAGCTGTTTTTGCATCAGCTTCTGAATCATTTTCAAAATCAAACATTAACTGTAGTATTGAAGAGAGTCTTGTCCGTTATCGTGCTGTTACACGTGCAGCTAAAGAGCTTTCAATTCCTGTTCGAGGGTATGCCTTTTATTTTCTTTTACCATGATGTTAAGATTCTGTTATATTACTCTCTTCTTCTCTGTCTGTGTATAATTTTTGTTGGACAAGAATTCTGATTGAATTTTGTTGTTTAGATTGATCTTCTCCAGGAAGAGTTGTAATTGTTGCTCTGCAATTTTCTTTTTGATCTTGGACAGTGCCTTGTAGTTGTTGGCTTAACTGAATAAGTTAGCTTAAATTGCTGAGATTTACTCTTGTTCTGGGACATCTACAATTTTGCGTATATGTTTTCTATTTTTTAACTGTATGCCCTTCAAAATCAGGCTTGACAGCTATATTTTTATGCATTGTCGAACTTGTTATCATAGCAGACACGACCCTTTCTGATATGTTTAAGTGGAATTTAAGTTAAAACCTAATGGTTGAACCCACGAAATTCCAATCCTGAAATGAATTTTATCAACTTGGAAATTCTATTTCCATTCTGCTTATTTCAATTAGCATATTTTATTTAAATTTTATAGGTATGTATCATGTGTTGTTGGATGTCCAGTGGAAGGACCAATCTCTCCCTCTAAAGTGGCATATGTAGCTAAAGAACTCTATGATATGGGTTGTTTTGAGATCTCCCTTGGTGACACAATTGGAGTTGGCACACCAGGTGATGATTTAGATAACTTGTTTTTTGATTTAGGGCATCCATGCTGATTCATTAGTAATGGTGAAGACCTCTCATTCTTCCAGTAGACTAGGTGTTCCAGTCAATTAAATATTTGGGTATGGCGCCTTATAAGGAAGGAATCCTTGAGACTCCCAATAACTTATTAGAATAAACATCCAAATATGTTTAATTAATAATATAAAACAGTCTGCTTTTAAAGTTATGTGTGTTTAGTTTCAGATCAGTAGGATTCCATTATACTGTTGTGCATTGGATTTTGCATAATTGGGCTTCAGCATATATCCAGTGAGATATCAATTCTTCTGCTGATTTTTTCTTATTTTAATAAACAAGTTTCATTTCTCGTGTGTTCTGTTTGTAGAGCACAAAGTATTCGCCAACAAAGAAAATGATGTGGATTTCTCCATTTTGTCTCTCCTTCATTGGACTTCTGAGCTGCGATAATTTCACTGCTATGTACTCTGGTCCATGTAGTTCCCTAGTTTCTGGGACTAGATTCTTCAGTAATATGTTTTTTAGAATAGCTAATGCTAACTTGAAGTTCGTAGGCAGATTTATTTTTCTTTTTAAAAAAAGATATATGGTCTATACCAATCTATCCTCGTTGTCCAACTCCAAGGGGAAACTTTTACATGTCAGGTTTTCAAGTATGCTTTCTATTATGCAGTGCATAACAAAATTTTGATGCCGATTTTCATACTGGCTTATCATTTATGTCTGAGTTCCCATGTTATAGTCCTTCACTTTGATTCTCAAAAGATTTCTACTGAATATTTTCAATATGGAACATTGTTTATCATTTATAATTGTTCTGTCTACATTGCTTTTCCGCACATTTCTTTGTGCCTCGTCTATCTGAAGAATCTAATATCTCCTCTGTATCTCATCATTATCCACTGTAACCTGGTTATTTTGTGCTTATTCTTGAATTATTCCTTACAATTTCTTAATTGGCTTGCTTAATGACGGCAAAGTAAAGACTAAAAAAATGTCACTTCTTGGTAGAATTAAGGGCTAATGCCATAGTCCATAACATGTGCTTCACACCTTAATCCCTTTTCCATGACTATGAATATTCTTTTCAACAATTTTCTATGGGTTCCTTGTTATCTGATCTTGCACTTATATTGTTCTCCATTCATCTTATTTTGGCCAGGGACTGTCATTCCCATGCTTTTGGCTGTAATGGCTGTCGTTCCAATAGAGGCAATTGCTGTCCACTTCCATGACACTTATGGCCAATCCCTTCCCAATATTCTGGCGTCCCTTCAAGTAAGCCATCAAAATATCAAACAATAGCTTCTGCTTTTATGCACGTTTGGTTGGTTGGTAGAAAAGTGCTTTCTAGAGAAGAAATGGAAAATGCACCTATCCCATTTCCTTTTTGATGCTTTTCTCTTTTCCTTTCTGAAAAAACATTTTTCCGTTTACTAAGCATGTTAATGTACTTGTCTTTTACTGAATGATCTTACTGAGTTCTCCTCTTTCGCATTATACCATGAAAGTTTCAGTTGATTCGCCAAATCACAGGCACAATCTATAAGACTATAATACTAGATTTCATCTTAAAATTAAATCCATATTTTGTTACACTAATCCGTGTGTTGATTCTGTGGTCACAACTTATCACTGTTCAAAATAGAAAAGACTATCACATTCCACATGAGTAGAACTGTTAAATATTGGCCATTCAGGTTTCATTGGCATATGATGTGTGAAGAAAGAAGGGGGGATGACAAGGATCTCATAAGAAGATTAATGTCAAATCAAGATCTTTTAAAGATTTTAGTACTTAAAACATGGGAGAAGGAGTTATGAATTTGGGAACCTTAATTGTGAAGAGATCCTAACTTGACATTAATCTTCTTATGAGTACTTGTTTGTCATTTTCCTGAAAAAGAGCCTTACCTATGGGCTACAGCATTTGTAACTGGAGCTAGATTTGCTTTGGCTATTAGCTTAGATTTAAAGAGTAAGGGTAACTTATATGATGATGTGGGTGAAAGCAGAGTTTGATTTCTTTTCTCCTGCCACTTGCAGAATGATGTGATTAAGTAAGCCCTAATTTCTGTGTTATCGATACCATTTGCTTATAGGCTTCTTTTTCTACATTCCCTTCTTGTTAAAGGGGTAATTAAAAATCTAACTAAAAGTCTCTTAACTATAGATGGGAGCTAATTGCAATTATCTAAAAAAATTCATACTACCTATCATTTTTTCTATTAATTGTTTCCGTCCATTTCACTCAGTCATTTTAAAACCACTGAACTCATGGGAACTTATTACAATTATTTAAAACAATTCATAACACCATTCATTTTTCTATTAATCGTTCCCGTCCATTTCACTCACTCATTTTAAAAACATTGAATGTGACATCTCAAGCCACACATGGGAACTGATTACACGTCTAAATTCATAATACCCATCTTTTTCCCATTACTTGTTCCAGTCCATTTCACTCAGTCATTTTACGATATCCTTGCAGAAATAAGAGAATGAAAAGAAAGGTATTTTTGGGGGAAAAAAACAAAAACTAAATCATTGATATGCGGAGTCTTGTCTGAACAAAGTCTCGCTTTTATGATGTTAATGCAAGAGTTGCTATTTTACTGGATTTAAATTTTTATAGACAACCTAAACTGAGAATACGTTTTATGTTTTGCTACTCTAAGAATGATTAATGAATTTTGATTTGCATCAAATAGATGGGGATTTGTACAGTGGACTCCTCTGTTGCTGGTCTTGGTGGGTGTCCATATGCTAAGGGAGCTTCGGGAAATGTCGCTACTGAAGATGTCGTGTACATGCTGAATGGGCTAGGAGTGAAAACTAACGTTGACCTTGGAAAGCTCATGTCTGTCGGGGACTTCATCAGCAAGCATCTGGGTCGCCCCTCTGGCTCAAAGACTGCTATTGCCTTGAGCCGAGTCACAGCTGATGCCTCTAAGATATGAGATTATATATTGCTATCAATATTTATTCATATTCTTCAAGCAACGACAAACATCTCAATCCACGTCATGTTTCTATTTCTACATGTAGAATATAACCAAAAGACCCCCTCATATTATGAGGTGAAAAGTAATAAAGTAGTTTATTATCTACCAATCTCAAATGCCATCACCACTCATGGTTGCCATTTTTGTCACTAGCTTCTGTTCTTGTTCTCCTTTCTCATTCTGTGCAGAAAGTTTAGCTTGAATTGGCTGTAGTTCAATTCCTACTCAATTTTTTTGACTGAAAAAACTGAAGTTTGAACCATTATACCCATTGCACACATTGTTGCCTATGTAAATTGCTTTCGTTCCTGTATCCTAGATTTTTTTATCCAAACTAATGCAGTTGGCAGTTTGTGGGTATCCCTTTGAGGGGCATATTTCTCGCTAATCATCACTGTATACCCAAGAGTTGAATTCGTGATCTTTGGCTAAGCTGGATCAAATACCTAGTAGTCATTGCTGTTTATGTTATAGCAAAGGGTGTGGTGGTCCTTTTTGTTTTTTTCCCCCTCGACCATTTTCTTCAATCCAAATGCACCCTCAAGTAATGATCATATACTTGGGAGCCATGATTTTGAGATCAAAAACCATGTCAGCTTCACAAAGTGTGGAGTTATACAAATGTGGATGTATCTGAGATTCCAATGATGGCAAGGCGAGCTATGACTTTGACCATCACGAAAAGGGAAACCAAAAGGCAAAAAGCAAGGTAAGAAAGAGACAAGCTTCATCATTTTCTTTTGCTTGTGCTCCAATTTATTTCTCAGTCTTCATAATACCCTTATGTCTTCTCTTGCGTCCTTTTGAATGTGGTTGTGGCAGTCAAAGGTTTAAAGCCATTTCAACACCCTGAAAAAATCATCACTCAGATCCCTTTCTCAACCTCAACTTTGGGTGTGGTGGGTGTTTGCCATTATGATGGAGCCTTTTCTTTGATAATATCATCATTAAGTTTTAGGTCCCTACATTTTTACTATAATTTCCAAATTTCATAGTTTTTTATAAATTCATGGATAAAAATGCGGTATTACTTTTTATTAAAAAAAGAGTACTAAATAAGACTTAAAAAAAAAATAAACCTTTGAAAACCAGGAACAATGGTTCATGGTGAAGACTGAAGAGCTTAAATGTGAGCAGAAGTTTTAAATTCCATTATTTGTAAATGCTTGATCAAAGAAAGAAGTGATGAGGGGACAAACAAGTGCATGATGGCTTTTAGGCTTGGTCTGTTGGTGAAGACTTCGTAGTGAAAAGGTTTAACTTTAATCATTTGTATTGGCATGAAAAGGAAATTAAAAGATGTTTTAATTTGAAGCAGCAAAAGGGTGTGATGTTATTTAGGCTTTTAATTAAGATGACCATATATAGTAGAGATATTTTTAAGTTTTTACTTTTTAGCGAAAAATCTTACATTACTTTTAGAAGGATATGCTACCTCTAGTGTTGTTGGCAGGGTTTCAGATATATAACTTCAGTCATGTGAGTCCAATAAGAAAAAGTTATGTTGAAAATGTACAATACTTTTCATTTATTTTGAAAATATATAATTTATTATAATTTTAAAATTATTAGTTGAAAGCCCAAAATACTATATATTAACTTAAATAAATATTCAATTTTTTCTGTAAATTCAAATTTAAATCAATAGAAGGTATTTTGATAAAAAATAAAATTAAATAATGGAAAATATTTTTATTTGAAAAGGTCAATATAAAATGTAAATTTTTTATGTAATTTTTTTTCAAATTTATTATTTTATTTTTGTAAAAAAACATAATTTTTTTTAAAATATAATTTTTCTTGAGAATCTTTCTAGCTCAAAATCACCCCTCATTTCAGTATTGATTCCGAATAATGATGGGCATAGTTCTTCTAATAAAGGATACTGAATATTCATGTTATAGAATTCTTGGCACCAAATTCTAACAAAATGGGAAAATATAAGGAAAAGATTGTAATCTAGAAAGTAGATTTTTTGAAATATTCTGAAGATTTTAGGGCCATAAAATAATAAATTTAAAAAGGTTGGAAAGCTTTTTTAAGAGGATGTGTAAAGCAAATGAAGACAACATCATTCTTTGTAAGAAAAAGGATATACACATTTGTTCATAATCCTTTTGTCAAACTCCCCACACGTTTGACCAACTTCAATGTTTTCTCAAAATAATTCACTTCTGTTTATAAAATAATAATAATAATAATAATTCACTTCTGGATTCCACAAAAAAGTAATTATTACTTTGAATAGATTTTATTTATTTATTGTTTTTCATAAAAGAATAAGAATAAATATAACTTTGAATTCCTATATTTTGCTTGAATTTTATTATAAATCTCTGTATTTTTTTGGTATTTCATATTTCCATACTTTTTTTTTCCTAATATTCTAAATCCCTTCATAAACAATGTTATAGAAATTTAAAATACCAAAAAAAAGTGTAGAGACTTGAAACATTAAAAAAAAAGTGCCAACACCTACAATAAAATTAGAGCAAAGTGCATGAATTCAAAGTTATATTTTTTCAAGGATAAATTTAAACTCTTAAAATTTTCAATGATCAAATTTGATACAAGTTTTTAAAATTTATTATTAATATTTAAAAATTAATAAAAAATTACTCAAAATAATAATTTTAGCTTTTAAACAATATAACCATAATTTTGGGCAATTTTTTTAAAATCTTAACTGTCGTTATATACGATAATAATTTTAGAACTTAGAAAAACATTTTAATTTTTTCAAAGTTTGAATCTTTACATCTAGCTTATTCTTATATATCTATTGAAGTAGCCTCTTGGGGTCAGATTTGAATTAAGTGAATAATTCAAACTGTAACATTTTTTGGGCCAAATATTATGCAACATCTTAAATGTAAGAGTTAGTTAATTAATTCATAGATCGTAATAAAATCGATGAATTAGTTATCCGTAAAAAATGTGCTGATTTATTTAAAATACTGCTCAATAATTTATATTGAAATATTATTAACGTCACTTATAACTCTTCCATCCCTATATATAAGATATTTTTTAGAAGCTTATTTTATCCCTAAATATAAGAAGTGGCAATAATATTTTTAAATAATTAAATAATTTTATCCTTGTCTTGAAAAATAAAAGTTAATTATATGGGTAGTTGAGGAAAAAATTATAATAAATATGAGAGAGAAAAAATTGAGTTCTTACATTTAGGTCTAGTGCAAGATGTTAATCAATCAAAACGTGGTGAATCACTATATGAATCCTAGCTGAAAAATGTATCTACATTTAGTATCCGTTCATATATCTAACATGATTGTCTTCATTAAGAAGTACCTTTGCACAATAAAAATATAAAACAAATTGTGGTAGTTCATTTTATTTCAACTTCACCGTTTATTTTTTTTATATATAATTAATCAAGTTATATTTAAACTTTGTCGTGCTAGTTAATAATACTTCTTATAGAAATATTTTTGGCATTTATATGGATCCAAACTTATCTTGTATTTAAATGATCATAGCTTCTCTACCTTGTCTTTAATCGCAATAAGTTGTTGGCATGCGTTTAATTTTTATACAATATTTTATTATAGTTATTAAATACATAGTTATTAATTTCAATAAAGGGGCAAATTAAAAACTCATACATTTTCAAAATATGAACTATCACTACTTACAAATAATAAAACTAGCTGATGTTCTCATATAATTAGGACTTGAGGGAGTATATTGTACGAGTATGTAATATTAAAAATAGTTGAAAAAAATAATAAACATGACAGATAAAAAAATTGAAATCTTATTTTCACATTTATGAACAAAATAAATTCTCTAACAAGTTTCTTGAGCAGAGGAAGTATAGGCAAATTTTGAAAGGAGAGTAGACTTGAACAAGTAAAATGGCATGAGAGATTTTGGGCTTTGGCCCCTTCTTCTTTTACCCATAAAAAAAAATGGCATGTGAGAGAGAGAGAGAGAGAGAGAGATATCATGACATGTTTGATCATCTGACGTGAGACAGATACACACAAATCTCTCTCTCTCTCTCTGTCCAGACAGTAAATATATCATCACAGTGAGCTTCAAAAAGACAGAAGCAGCAGCAAACAAAAACAAAAATAAAAGAAAGAAAGGCCTCTTTCCTTCTCTCTTTCTCTGGTCCATATAGTTGGTTCCCAAGTAAAAAAAGGGCTCAGAAAATGGCACACTTACACTTTCTCTCTCTTTCTATCTCACTCTGCACCATATTTATTTGCATTCATGGCACCCTCCCCTATGCACAATATTGACTCTTCTCCTCATTTTCAGAGCTCATTCTCAAAAACAAAAACAAAAATTTACAATACATGAAAAGAAAGCAGACTCAGATCAGATCAGTATCAGATCCTTAGTAGTTAGTATACTATTTTTCTGTTATTCTCGTTTTCTTTTCCTTCCTTTTCCCATCTTCCAAACACCACTTTCTTCACCTTCTTCTTCTCTCTGGGTTTGATTTTGTGACACCCTTTTAGATTCAGATCCCAAAAGTTTCTTCCTTTTCTCATTTCCTTTATGGGGTTTTGAACCAATTGTGTGAAAGTTCTTGTTTCCTCTTAGCTTCCATATATATATATATATATATAATGAGGTTGATATGGCTGGCTTCTTGTCTCTCTCTCCTGCTTCTGCTTCTGTTTCTTCTCCTGGAAACCTCTTCTGATGGGTCTGCAAAATTTCAGAGCTTTAAATCTGCTGAGTCTATTCCTTTTCAAGCCAAGCCAGGTTTTGCACAGAAGAAGACTCATAAAGGTGATGGTGAAGATCATGGACATGGCTCTGAAGCTCTTGGTGGTCTTGGTGATGAAAAAAGAAAAATCTACACTGGCCCTAATCCTTTACATAACAGATAAGTATGTAGATCGATGTTTATATATGTATAATTAATTCTATTCAGAGCTTGATTTTTCTTCTTTAGTTCAAGCTCGCTCTCTCTCTCTCTATAATATAGATTTTTTCTTTTATTTCATTTCTTTGTATGTTTTCCCCACCCAGAATTTGTGATTATTTTTCTCCTAAAGACCAGTATGTTTCTGGTGCATTATTATTGTGTATAGGATTATTTACTTGCTTTGTTTGTTATTATTACTTGCTTTCTTTATTATTATTATTATTATTATTATTATTATTTTCTTTCTTTCTTTTTATTTATTTACACCTATATGATTGATGATTGACGTCATTATGAATCTAGTCCTTTATTTTAAATTCAAGTATCATTGCGTTTTAAATGAGAGGTAGTATACTAGACTAGATTGTTTGTTGTGTATAGGATTATTTAATTAATGTTGGCTTCATGTTACAAATTTGTTTTTAATATGATAATAGTAACCACCTTCTAGTGATATTTATAAATCATTTTAAATTTTTAATATGTTTTACTTATAGAACTAAGCAAAATTTGAACATTTATTAATTCTGTTTAAAATTTTAATTTTATTTCTATTAAGGGTAAATATTAAATAGAAAAAATCTCTCATAAAAATTTAACAACATAATTTATAAATAAAAAAAATTTCTCCAATAAATACTACTGGACATAATAACAATAAAAAAAAACTTGAGATTGTAATAATGCAATACTCCCTCAGTTAAAAAATATATATTTTTAAAGAATTAAATGTTAAAAAATATAAAATATTTTTAATATTTTAATATGTAAGTATTACATTTTTTTCAAAAACACCCCTAAAATAATTATTTTATATTTATTTTAAAGTAAAATATCTTACTATATAAGAGTAAATATAAAAAAATAGTGTTAATTTAAAAATAAATAATAATTTTATTAAAAGTAAAATTTAATTAAAAATATTTTATATTTATAAACGTAGGAAGCATTTAAAGATCACGTTTTGCACATAATAGTGGGTGCAATAAATGGAAATGAAATGGTACAAGAGGGCAGAGTCTTAGTTATGGGGTGGCTCCGCCATTAATGGAGTTTGTTGGTGTAATCACTGTTTGACAGTGTTTGTTATCATTACCTCATTTCTTCCTTCCTTTTATTTCCGTACATTTCCGTAATTTTGGATTTCTGCACAAAGCTGCATAAGATTTTCACTCTGTTTTTAGTTTTATTTTTAGGAAAACAATGCTTTTGTTCTTCCACTTTACTTGAAATTTTGTATAAGTCTCTATATTTTGTTTTCAATATTTCAAGTCTCTAAATTATTCTCTATATGTAGCATTAATTTTTATATTTTTAAAAAGATATTGATGTAATACAAATGATATTAATAATACTGATATGTCAATTAGTATTGTTAATTTTATACTTACATGTCGAACTAAGGTTGATATAAAATCTTTTAATAAGCCAAAATAAAATAAAAAAGTCTACATTAGATTAAATAAAAAGAGTTGATCTAGATTTTTAAATGATAAGCAAAATGTACAAATTCATGTATTTTTTTTTTGTAGTTTTGCTTATTAAAAATTTCATATCAGCATAAGTTTAACATCTAAGTACAAAATTAATAATGTTAATTAACATGTCAACATTATTAACATTATTTGTGCCACGTCAACGTTCTCTAAAAATGTAGGAACTAATGTTTCATTGGAGAATAATGTAAAAACATGAAATATCCAAACAAAGTATAGAGACTTGAAGCACAAAAAAAAGTACAAGAATTTATATCAAACCTTGAGCAAAGTGTAGAAATTAATAGCAATATTTTTTTATTTTTTTTAAAAACTAAAATCTATGGTGAGGCAGACAAGAAATAAATGATGTATTTTAAAAAATAATTATATCCCTTCTAAATTAATCTCCTGTCCCAGTTTAAGATATTTTTAGACAAAACTATACATAGAAGTAAAGTTTATTAAATATAATTTATAATCTTTTAAGATAAAAGGAATTTTTAAAAATACTCTCCATTTAATATTTTATTTATGAAAGAATATTAAATAAAAAATATAATAGAAAAGATACTAATATTGAAAAATCTTTGTTAATAAAACTTTATTTTTACTAGAGTGTCTTATATTTTATAAGTCAAATCTCTCTAAAAGTTTTTAATAAATTGAGATGGAGGTAGTAGTTCATACTCCCTCTAGTTTGTAATATAATACTTCTTCCGTTTAAAAATATACAATATTTTTTAAGGAGTTAGATGTTTAAAAATATAAGATATTTTTAGTTTTTCGAGGTGTAATTTTCTCAAAAGTGTCTCTATTGATAATGACTTTATATTTATTGTAGGGTATTTAATAGGGGTAAATATAAAAGATAGGGTTAATTTGAAAGTAGATAACTACTTTATTGAGGAGTGAGATTCGGTTAAAAATGCCTTCATGTTTATTAGGAAATTATAGTTATATCCTTAAAATTATTTAAAAAATATATTTTTGTCTAATTTAGACTCTTACACAATTAATAACCATAAATAAATTGTTATTTAGAAATTCAAATGATGATAATAAATAACTAAGAGACCAAATTGAAACAAAATTTAATTAATTGAACTTTGTCTTATATATTAACAAAACTTTTAAATTTTGTCTTATAATAAGGCATGATGGGAGTACATGTGTATTATCAGCACAATCTTTCTTGATATAAAAAATAAAATTGAATATCTTACTAATAATTTATCTATATAAGATCGATGGTTCGATCCAAGCGGATAGAAAAAATCATGTTAGTAGATGTAAATCTTATTTGAGCTTGAGTTTGACATGACGATATCTAATATCAAATAATTATATGGAAAAATTGATTACCATACTTGAACGAAGAAAAGTCTTGTGTTATATTGTTCAAGTTTATTAATTCAGGGAATATTGGCGAGTCAGCCTCAATTCATTGGTTCAGAAAATTAATCAATTAAATTTCAGTGGGATTGATACATATTTGATGGAAGTGATGAAAAATTGATTAAAAGGTCTATTTTTTTAAAATTTTCTTCCAATATTTCAAGGCTTAGATTAGTAAATCGTGAATCATACGGTTTTTTCTTGAATTCCAAACATATTCGCTAAACCTACTTAAGGGCTTAGTCCAAGTTAAAAATATGTGGTTGGATATCAGAAAAGATTTAAAGTCCTAACTTTCATGATATAGAATAATAAATAAATAAATAAACAAAAGTCAAATAATCCCAATTGTTGGCGCGTGCATGCACGTGTGTTTACTTTACATATCTTTTGATATTATGTGAGAGAGGCTATGTATGGGGTGTGACCGAGTGAGACATTGGTGCTTGATATTTGCGAGAATCCATTACTCCCTCCAATCCTATTTACAGCACACTTTTTAAAAATAAATTTTAATCTAACATGTAAGTCATCTTATAATAATAAAACCAATTTTTGAAGTTTATCTTATTTTTTTATTAATGTGAAGAACTTCATGTAATTATATCATTATTTAAACTTAAGTTAAAATAAAAATACATACCATTTTTTATAAAAAAAAAATTAACTTTTTTTAAATATGTGAAATGATTGAAAATAATTTTAATAACATAAGTGAGCATTTGTCAATGATCATCTCAAGACACTTGTGAGGAATATCCACTGTTTAATTTTCATATCACCAAGGCCAAAAAAAAAAACAAAAGAAATTAACCAATCTTGGTGCATTAGACGACTACACGTAAATCTATGCATTGCATAAAAGTCTTAGAAATACACCCTATTTATGATTTATAAATGGGGTAGCTTACCAAATATTTTATATTTCTTCTATCCCAATTTACAAGACATTTTTAAATCTCAAAATATAAAATATTTTGATAAGAGGGCAAGACTTATATTTTTAGCTGCATATACTTAATATATTTTTATCTAATTTAATCAAAGCAAGTGGATCTTGATGTATTAATAACATTAATAACAAGAATTTATTAAATAATAAACAATCTATAAATAATACAAATATCTTGATTTAATTAGAAACATGTACCTTCTATCAAAGTATACAAGTTTTGCCTTTTTGATAAAAATACAACTTCATTAATGATGATTATTTCAATCTTACCCCTCATCATTTCATTCTTTTAATAATTCCCCCCTCTTATTAATAAAAAGTATTTTTGAAAGTTTATAAAAATAAATAAATTGTAAACTATATTTAATGAATTTCATTAATATGTATAATTTTGTTAAAAATACCTTATAAATTTGGATGAAGAGAATATAATATTAATTCTCTCGTAATGGATTACACGCACACATTATATATTTTACTGCAAATAAGTTTTGTTTCGGTCAAAATGTGGTTTTGGGATAATGTAACACCCTAACTTAAAGAAAAAACACTTATTTGAACTTTTTAGCTTATTTGCAAATGGTGTCTTGAATGTTCCAAATCAAAAACTGAGTTTCCAATGCCAAAGAGAAAGGGGGGCTAGTTTTGAAACTTGCAAACTGTAATAAATGAAATAAATTGCTCAGGTGAGGAAGAAGACATAAATATTTAGCACAAGTTCCATTCTATCTGTGTCTATGTTCTCACTCAAGTAAATCTAACAGTTGACTAGGACAATAAACTGGAAACACTCAATATTGAGCGCCAGTCACATTACTATGATGATCTGCAGTTTCAATTCTGATAAGGGTCGTAGAATTGGAATCCCCCACCGATAGTCTTATAGCCTAGTGGCATGTAAGTTTCCCTATAAGTGGGGAGGTTGGGGTCTCAATCCAACTTGTAACTTCAGGCCATTAGTGTATGTCTTTATAATTAAAAAAAAAAAAATTGGAATCCCATACTGAAATCTGGTATTCATGTTTTATTATATAGAAACTCATTTCTTTTTCTAATCGTATTACTTTGTCTTACCCTATCAGTTCCACTAAAAACAAACAGAGACATAAACATTCACGATACAATTCACTTAATCATGGAAGTTTATAGCATACATAAGGATAATCATAGAACAAAAAATAAAAAGTTCAGTTCGTACAAGGGCGTCTATATTTCTTCTCTTTTCTGCCTTATTTCTGTTTTGTGCCTAATTCTTCTTATGGCTGATGAAGTCATTAAATTCAAACGATTCTTTTAGCACCCTAAAAACACAAGTGATCAGGATCCTCCCAAGCATGCTTTAGCTGAAATGGGGGGAGAGGGAGAGAGGGAGGGAGAGAGAGAGAGAGAGAGAGAAGAGAAGAGCAGGCCCCACTTCTATCCATGTCTGTCCCATCTCTCTTTCTTCACTTCAGTTAAAGAACATTTCAGAAGATCCTGACTATAACCACAAGTCGGAGAAGTGAAAAGTTAGATCCTATTTAGCATCTCATTCTTTTGACTCATCTGATACTGCTAGATTCTTCAATATAAGCTAAATGTCTCCCAGAAAGGAGCTTGATTAGGGGATTCTCTACATCATCACCTGGTTGACTCGTATTTCGCCGAACAGTGATCTTTTCAGAACTAGTGACAACCACCACTTCCTCCTTGCGAGTTGAGAGTTCATTTGCAACAACCGCGTGCATCTTGTACTTTCTAAGAGCTTTATCAGCTTTCTTTAGAAGAATGTTTGAATCTGTCTCTAACTATCAGCAATGAAAAATGAAAAATCTTAGATGAAAAAGTTATAACGTGAAAAGTACAAGTATGTCATTTTCTTTTCAATGCTTTAGGGTTGCTAGAAAACAGGAGATCCATAGATAATCATTACCAATCAAAAGTCGGGTGATATCTGATATGGTTTGAACCTGAACTGTTCAGTTTTATTTTCACATTTCAACTGTTCTTCATAATGCAGATTCATAACGAATGCAGATCATGGAAATCCCTATCAGGCAACGTAGAAACGCTGTTTTGTTTTTCCCGGGGGAACAACATCATTAAGGAGCTCCTATGACAAATAATATAGCATCACACGAAAAGGTAGACAAAACTGAACTCAGTTTCACACTGAGACTTTTTTTTTTTAAAGCTAGTGACTGGCACAAATTAATTTTGAACTTAATAAAACAGAACAGGCGAATGAACAATGTTTTTCCAGAAGTATCTAATAGCCAAGCAGGAGGGCGATCAAAGTGAACTATACTTATAATGTGAAAGTTATTGACATTCAACTGGCTGGAGGTGGGAACAGGGTTTAGTACCTTGAAAGATATGCAGAAGGCTGATGGAGCCCATTCTTCCCCAAGCACCAACAACATTTTGGGCACTTGGACGAGTTTCACGTCCAAAAGGTGAGATCCTGATTGAATTTTATGCTCCACCTGTAGGATTAACGCAATTTGACATCACCAATAGCAAGAAAATCTGATCATATCAAAGTTGAAATAGCAACCCCCTAGCTTTTTGGTAGGCCATTTATAGCAATGATCAACCATACAAATCTGATTAGGTTTTTCTCTAAGTATCCCCATCTAGAGGTCTTTGGTGTATAGAATTAGTTATCCACTATGTCCACAAATGAACTATCTGAACCCGAGACCAAAAATTCATTTTTTATGATGAATATAGCAGTGATGAAATCTTTATCTCTTCAACTATAACCAATTATATCATTTGAAGTAACATTAAAGTGTAAAGACAATAATCGGAAACAATCAAGTAATTAACATATATCTGAACTATTGAATCACATGATCCAGAAATATATAGCAAAACTACAATACGATGGAAGACCTATTTATCAGATTATTACCATGTCTTTCCAAGGAACATAATAATCAGATACTGCAGCTGAAAGATAGAACATTCCACGTGGCCCTAGACACCTCATTGACATTGCAGTCATTTGCAACATCTGCACTAACAAAAAGAGAGAGAGAGACGCGGGGGGGGGGGGATTACAAAGGCTATTTTGCACAACAAAACTACTGATATGGCACAATGATTAAAAATTATTACAAGTAAAGAAGTGGCTCAATCTTGAAACATAAGTATGCTATTTTATGGAGGTGAGAGGCGATAATAAATCCACAGGAAAATAGCAATCAAGAAACTATATATGAAATTTATATTAGTCAAGGATCAGTTGTTGTCAAAATTCATAAAAACATAAATTAAGGCTCTTGGCCCAAAAAAAAAGAGAGAGAGAGCAAAAACTAAGGCTTACTTGAAGATACTCAAATATTGTTCTGTATGGAAGTTTTAGTAGGAGACCATCTGCTACTGCCTGCAGAAGAATGGGAACCCCATTTAGCTCTCATCATACCTAGCTAATCTAAGTTTAACACGAACAACCATTAGAAAAATCAAAACACACACACAAAAACAAGGATAATACAATATGGAAAATCAAAGCTATAGTTCATACAGCTTCGTGTTCAATGATAGCCCTCTTTACTGCTTCAGCATGGACCTCACGAACTGAATTATAGAACAGAATTCAGCCATATTCATATATAAAAAAATAATAATAAAGATGAGACGGGCATATTATTGAAGTTAATTTTTAGCTGACAAAATAGGTTCTCCAAGTAGCCTTCTTCATGGGACAATAATAAGATAATAATATCATATTTTTATAACATTATAAAGACATAAAGCTTTAACAAGTCATAATAAAGAGTGAGAATTATAAAAATAAAGTTGGCTCATGAGATGCTTGGAACCATCTTTTTTCAAACAATCAATCATGCAATGTTAAATACTTCAACTACGTCCTGAGAGTGAATACTTTTTAAAGGGGGCTTTGTCCTTTAATCAAGTGGGGGAATGAAATGATTAATTTCTGTCGTGTGAACATGATTATAAAGCATTCATCAGAAACTATAAACCTCGAATATTGGAATCATCGTTAGACTCAAAGCATTCAAGTAAGGGATCATCAGGCAGGGATCTGCAGAATGGCTGGAAACTTCCCCTGCAAATATATCCATGCGCAATCAACAAATTCAGAAGAAAACGAGAGATGGACATATTCTACAGCTCATATCATTACAGAATGCAGCATAACAGGAACAGAAAATAGAAATTCACCTTCGGTACAAAAAGATGACAGCATATCCAGCCTTCAAAAAGTACCTGAAACAAAACCAGCAAGCTAATCTTCTCAAGAAATTCAGGTAAAAAGTTGACATGAGCTCTTTAATAACTCAGGAGATTGTAACATACTCTGTGGATGTGGCTCCTCTATGGCCTGAACTAAAATTGTCAACATATCGGACACAGCGTTGCTCTAATGGAGCAGTGGTACCACCAGATGTCACACAAACAACTCTTTTGGCATTCCCATCTGCACCAGATCCTTCACTTAGAAATAATGCTAGCTTTGCAAAATGCATAATTAAATGTTGTGAGAATGAACTTACCAGAATGCTGAGAATTGCGTGCAATAAATTCCTTTAATTTTTCACTTATTTCAGCACAGTTTTGCAAAGGAGGAGCTGAATCAAAAAATGCTTTCACTTCCTCTTCAAAAGTTAGCTGTGGAGTTTGCAATCCATTAGTTGCATCCATCAATTACCTACAGCCATATCCTTTGTCAGACACTCACGACTTGATCGCAAGCCCATGAATCAAAACACGACTTGGAAAACAATAAATTAAGGGGAAAAATCAGCATCCCCTGCAAGAAGGCACTCACAAACTACCACCTAATAATTCTACCGCAGTATCCAAGGGAAGCAAACGTATATTCAAAATCAGTAAGACAATCGCGAAATAACCCAAATTTGAACCGAAGATTCACATTCACAGTCGACCGCAAGGTGAATTACCAAAAAGGGGACAAATGCACCCTATCATAGTTCATCAAATGCACAGCAAGTTCAACCATTCGAATTCAAAGTAAGATTCTTTTCTCTCTTTTTTTTTATTTACTTTATTTCGAATAAATTGAATACATAAGCGGAAGAAACATATTCAGAGAGCTCACCACCCGAAGGAGCCCAATATTCCGGCGTGATGCGTTAGGAGAGGAGAACGGAAAAGAAATGAAGAAACTGATGCTTTTTGCGTTGCTGATTTGCTGAATTTTATTTTATTTTATTTTTTGCCCCCGGAAGGCTGAAAGCGGTAGTTGGAAACATTATATATATATATATATATATATATATATATAAAATAAAGCTACCCTACGGTCCAGTCGGAGGATGGCGGAGACGGGTGAGGAGGCGCGTGGTAAAGATTGCCCTTCCCCCTTTTTTTTTTAAACAAAAAATCTTTTGTTCAAAAGCATATAATATTATGTTAGGCAGAACGTGAATCTTCTTTATTTTTTTTATTATTTATCTTTAAATTTTAATAAATATGATTATCAATAATTTAAATTTAATATGAATTGCTCAAATTTAATAGTGACATTTTTAATAAATTTATTGTTATGTTCAGAATATATTTATACTATCTAGAATATATTTAAAAAATTAATTTAAATTTTTAATATTAAATTTAGATCATTTATATTGAATTTGGATTATCAAATTGATTAGTATATTTATTAAAAAAATTGAAAATTTTTTATATATTTTATTTTAAATGTATAAATTAAAAATATTAAATCTAAACTATCTAAATTTATATTTGCCCCTGCCTCAACGAAGAAGTAAAGGAGGTGTGCTCATCTGGCTAGGAGTCATTACAATATATTTTAGTCTAAATTAATCTCTGCTATTCATTTAAATTAATTTTTAAATATTTTTGATATTATATTTATTAATATAAAAATATAAAAAAATTTAAATTTTTAATAAATCTATTCATTATCAATGTGACTAATATAAATTTAATCTAGCAGTATAATTTAATATTAAAAAATTTATAATTTTGTAATTTAATTATCTAAATAGACTTTGGACAGTTTAGATATAATTTAAATGAACTAATTTAATATTAAAAATTTATAAATTTTATGTATTACTCGTTTAGATGTATTATAAATAATCCAAATTTAATATTAAAATTTTTTATATGTTTTATATTAATAAATATAATATTAAAAATGTTTAAAAAATAATTTAAATAAAGAATATAAATCAATTTGGACTAAAAGATGAGCATCAAATGTAGACGTGGGTTAGGGCACAGGTGTTTGATTGTTTCAAACTTTAGAATTTTTTTTTTGAAAGACAGTCGAAGTTGAGTAAGTGAAAATGAGACATAAGAAATTAAAAAAAAAAAAAAAGCACACATAGGCAGGTACGAGCTACCCAAGACCTTACCCGTTACTTGTCAGTCTTTGGCATACAAGTATATGCTCATACGTACCCATTTTTCTTCCTTCATAAATAAGTATGTGTTGACCTATTTTTTCATAGGTCAGGTGGGTATGAAGGGATTTGCAGATAAAATGCACACCCCTTAGCACGAGAGAATTGCTTTCTCTATATTTCTTTAACCTCATGCGCGTCCCAACCATTAAATTAAATATTAAATTTTATTAATAATTTTTAAAAATAATAAATGTGGATTGTTCAAAATTTTGATTTAATGGTTGAAATGTGCCATGGTTGGATAGGTAGGTACATGAAGAGAAGTCGAGTTGGAAGCCTAACAAGCCTACACTTGCAGGGGAAGATAGTTACTTCTTATGGTTAGAAGATAGGGAATTTGGAACTCGAACTCAGACCCCATCTAATCCTTTTAAACTTAGTCTAATCCTAACTCAACTCTGGTTCTCGACTCACAAGCCAATTTGGGACAGGTCAATCCTATCTAAGTATAGTCATTCTAAACATTGTTTTGGTTCTAATTATATGACAAAATTTTAAGATTTAAGGATCATTTTTAACCTCAATTTTCTTTTAGGTTTGGGATATTTTGAACTTAACATTGATTTTTTTTTATCCTTAAATGTTCAAAAAGCGCTGCTTCATCATGCTACTTTTAAAATTTCTTATAGTAAAACATCCAGTTAAGGTTCATTTTTGTCTTTGAGTTTAGAATACCTGTAAAGCTTAAAATAAAAGTCCAAAAACAAAATTATCCTTAACACAAATTTGAAAGCCTTATTTAATCCTAAATAGGGGATAAATATGTATTGATTTTTTTTCCCAATATTGCTCCTTCTAATCATACAAAGGTGTAATCCCTAGGCACACGAAGGTAATTAAATTTGTGAAGGACACAATTTCTCAAATATTTTTTTACAAATCTAAAGGTATCGGTTACCATTCTTTAAGAGCCATAAATATGATTAACTTTACCCCTATAATTAGAACAAAAAGGAACATGTTTGAGAGAAAATAGAAATAAACATAAAAAATGACCAAATCAAAGAAAATAACTTTAAAATCAAACAATATACTGATTACGTACAAAATGATTACAAATTGATACAAACTTTTTAGTATAGTTTCCAATTGTGTAAATTCTTGGGAAATGACAACTAAGGACCCTCAAATGTCATTAATTTCAATTGATGACCATAAAATATTGAAATCCCAATTAAAAATCCTGATTCTTATCTGGAATTTTAAAAATGTGAATTATCTTAAATGCCTCTTAGAAAAAAGTTAATGAATAGAGTTAGTAAATTTTCAAGTGACTTTCATATATTTTTAAGTATAGTTCCTTGTTTTTCAATTGACATTAACAATATTCTCATGCTATAATGATGATTTCAGCACTGTCATCTCTTTGTTTTTGAAGTGATAGCTACAAATTGGCATGAAATTTGACAAGTCACTAGGTTCATATTTTTTTAATAAAGTTAAATTTCTAAATCACTTTTGTATATTCATCAATGACATTAGAATATTTTAAAAGTTAGTTTCTTTCATATTGAAAAATAATTTTGTCACACCCAAAATTTGAACATTCTCAACATAGAATATAGGGATAATACCCATATCCCAAAAGTCTTTACTCAAGAAAACTCTAATTTCTAAACCATGAAGACATTTTATAATAAATTAAACCATCTTCAATATAACCCATATGAACAAAAGATTTAATATTTTTGTAAAAAATTTGATAGGATCTCCCCTTAAAATAAAATCTCCCAAAAACAAATCTATAAATATTTTACAAAACAATAGTAGCAACAAGAAACTCTCTTCCGATTAGCAAATAACAAAGTATAAATAATAAGGATGAAGACCCTAACTATAGCTTATGAGGAGTACCCGACACAAGAAATTTACAAATCAAAATACATGGATTTAAATTTACTTTAAAGAAGTTTGATTACAGCTTTTCATCTCAACTGAATATTGCAGCCCCTCAAGGATTAGCGGAAGGTACAACATAAGCTAACGTATCTGAGACCAAAATAATAATTTTTAGTGAATAACGTTCTAATAATAAATAATAGAATATGAATAAAAAGGAAAATTTTAAAAATAATTGTGTGAGTCAAAGAGACAACAACTTTCATAAAAATTTAATAAACTTTAAAATAGAATAGCTCTATAAAATTTTAAAATTAAGTCTTAAATCATTGAACTATCATAGCAAATGTTAAGAGGACTTAATTCCAAGAAAGCACATAAATGAAATATATATTTATAAATAAATTACTGAATAACATCAATGAAATATAAAATCATCAAATAATTGGATTCATAATTATAGGGACTTATCAAAATAATTAACAAACGTGGACACACAATCTACGAGGGTAAATAACCAAACATGGCTTATGCCACGCAAACAAACGTGGATATACAATCCACGAGAGTGATGCTAACCAAACGCGGCTTGAAGCCACAAAATAAATGTAAGTACGATGCTCACAAATAACCATCTCATCATTCCACATGCGTTGGCTATTGCATGGGGCTAACACCTCCTATGAACACTCTGCTAGCTAGGTGTACCATGTTGTGCCAAGGACTAACAGAATTGTCGTTAGCAACTAGTGTTCTATATAAAGTCTCCTTTTAAAACCATTTTTAAACATGCGATAAAATCATTACTTTCAAGATACAGTTCTGATTCTCAAAATTAAACTCGCATGAATACTTTTAAGTATTAGAACTTTTCAGAATAAAATTTCATATCCAATGCTCATACTTGCATTTATTGAATAATCAAAAATTGTTAATGCTAAAGAAAATGAGTTTTATTAATCCTGAAAAAATATCTCATAAGAAGTAAAATATTCATATGCTATGATGAATCATTTTTTATCACCATCTTAAAACTTAAAAATGAAGAAATGTAATTAACAAAGTATCCACTAATCAACACAATTATTATTAAAATAATCAATGTAATAAAAAAATTTCAGTAAGAAAAATTAATTGATAAATTAGTTGGGACACTATCCACTTACCTATAGCACTTTCAACCTCAAAACTCTTTTCTTTTAACTCTAATCAAGCTACCTTGCTTACAATTACCCTTAAATCACCATCATCACAAAAGAGAAAAAGAGAAAGCTTATAAGCTAAACAGGGGGAGGAGAAGGTCCAACGGTGCTGCCACACAAGAAAAGAAAGAGTTTGTGTCCTCGCCAAACTCCCATTAGGTGAGAACGGATGAAAATTCCAGCAACTGAAGCAATATATATGAAGCTGAGCCAACTGTGATCTGAAGTAGGGAGTCATCTGGCATCGTACACAGGGGGAGGAAGGAAAATGACTTCAACCATACCAAACCAAGCAAGAAAATCTCATAATCAGCACTACCATCTTTAGTGACTCAATTTTTCTCACCCTTCAGTGACGCAAACAAGAATGGCAAAGACAGTAGCAACTGAGGAAGACATAAACAAGAAGCATGACTGAGGACCTGGCATCGTTCGGGAGTGACGAGCTCCCACTTTGCTAGTGGTAAGGGTAGGATAGCAGAGAGAGAGGCAGAGTCAGAGAGCACATGATGGAAAAGTCCAGAGTTTCGATCTCTAGCCCTCACTGCAATTTAGAACGATATTGAAGAAAGGGAAGGAGGAGAGACGGTGACTCAAAACCCATGCAACGATGGCCGAAACTCTCTCTCTCACTCACACACCTCAAGAAGTTGGAGATGATAGGGGAGAAGGAGAAGACGAAAGAAATGGGTAGAGTTTTTCAGACTTCTCTGATCCTAGAACACGATCGGAAAAAGGAGGGGAAAATAGAAAAAAAAATCATGAGCTCTCCCTCTCTCTTATGCCCGTTGCACCGACTAAGAAGATCCAAATAAAGTGAAATAATAAGCTCATGGAGAAATTTACAAAACAAGACCCAAAGCTTATTGAGAAAATTTCAAAAGAAGACCCTATCAATTTTTGTTATTATAATATTTCTATAATAAAAAGCAAGGACTCTTTGGTACTTTTCCATATAAATAAAAATAAACTAACATTTGGCTAAAGTAAAATTCAAACTCTAGACCCCTATATAAATATTCAGTATAAATTCTAATATATTATCGCTCTTTCTTTATCATAAAATTAAAATTAATTAATTAATTAATTATCAATTGGAAGGGAATTTATTTAATTTAAAATTAAGGGGTCATTACAAATTTATTCCCAAGTGTGGTTTATTGTTTTCTCAATTGACATCAACAATATTCTCATCCCATGATAGTCATTTCAGCAATATTATATACATTTTAATATTTTGTAAAGGGCAATTTGCAAAGTTATGTTTGTTTTTTTATTTCAAGTAAGGATTATAGTCCTTAATTGAAGTTAATGACCTTAAGTGGTCTTTAATTGTTATTTTTTCTAAAGTCTTTCTTGTCTTCGTGATTACATTAAAATGTCTATCTTACTTTTTGTGTTCATTGATTATTATATTATTATGGAGACTCGAATTCAACCTTACAAATTAGGTTACCAGAGTAAGAATTGGCAACATCTTACACAAGACATTTCAGAATCGATTTTAAGGAAAGTGTGCCGTGAGGTCTCCTAAAGTTTTGGTTTAGTTAGCTCATATTGGCATGCAGTGTTTGGAAGAGTCATTATAAACTAAAAATGTCATCTTGTTCAAATTCCATTCCTCATGCTATCCCTCAGCAATCCTAACATTGAGAGATCTGGCCACCAAGGATGCCTAGCCCCATAAAATTTTGCCCAACCCAGCCAAAAAAAAAAGGTAGAGATGTTTGGGCCTGGGCTAGTATTCAGGCCGTGCTAGGTTAGTGTTGCATTGAAATCTTCATTATATTTCCTTCCTTCTTTCTTTTTTCTTCCTACTTTGTAGCATATTAATTAATTTATAATTATTTTTGTATTTTTTTCAGATGACGAGATCAATTTTTTTTTTGGGTAATAGATGCTCTTCTTTTTGTTATATTTAAGCTTTTATTTTGATTTTTCCCCCAAAATGCTTCTCTTTTTGCATTAATTAATTTATAATTAATTTCATCAATAGATTTATTTTTTCTTTTATTTTACCATCATTTGGACAAGGCAACTGCCCTGCGTGTTATGCCAAGCTTGAAATGCATGGGCATCTCACTGGCGAGGCTAGGTAAAGGTTTGCAAAATGCAACCTATTCATACTTTAGACTAGTCGTTGGGTAAAGGTCTTGTCCAACCCAGCCTATATGCAGTCTTATTAGCAAGATTTGTATGGTTATTGTGGGCCTTCCCATCCTATTTCTTGCTAACGAAGATTGATCTCGCTAGTTGGAATATGACTCATAACAAACAAGAGAGTGAATTTAAATCTCATTATCAATATAAAGACCTTATTGATAAATAATTTACAAGTACATTTACAAAACATTCATAAAGGTTGGAGACATGCCATATCCTTAATGAGCCCATAAAACTCAACTCTTTTAAATTTTTTTGTGTATATATATAAATGCTTCGCCATTCTTATAATCCTTCCCAGCACGATGTAAATTAATTAAAACCCTGCGACTTCTAGATACTAGGTGGTCTGACCAAAAAAAAAAAGGAAAATTAACTCTAACAAGGCTCCTTGCTTCCTTAAAGCAAAGGAAGAAAGAGTTCTTCACCCTACAGCCCAACTACTATATAGTAATAGTCAATTTGTTCTAAGTGCAATTACTGGTTGGTTAATGATGGTTGAAGGTATATATACTGCCATTTTCGGTCTTATATAAAAGATAAAGAGAGAATAATTTTTTTTATTCTATTTATAGACCATGACCTTAATTTTTTTATTACAAGTTTTTTCTTTTATCCCAAATGAAATGTTAGTGAGAGAAAGTACATTATTAAAATAAGGATAAAGTTAATAACTTGTTAAGTTTTTAAGTAGATTTAATGGATTTTAATTTTTTTAATTCCGATGAAACATATTGAAATATTTTTTTTGTCTAGATATATTTATTATTTTTTCAAAAAAAATTACTTTTTATATATCAAGTATAGTTATAATCTTCTTGACTTTGATATATAATTATAGTTATTTGATTTACCAAATATATAATCTTCTTTTTAATTTATAAGTACTCCTACAGCCATGGGAGCACTTATATAATAGACTAAGTTATGAGAGTGTTTTTAAAATGATCTGGTATATATGAGCAAGCCTACATATTTAAAAGCTCTTATAAATTAAAAAGAAGTGCCTTCATAGATTTTTGGATAAATGAATAAATTATTTTCTAAACCTTAAATTTGAAAACATCATAAACTTTGAATTTGTTTAATATGTAAATTATTCTCTCAATTTTTAAAAACAGAATAATATAGCCATTACTGTTAATAAAAGTAAATTTTGATAGTTAGTTAATCAAAAAATAACAAATAAGAATCTTAAAAAATTATCCTTTTCTATAATTTTTGGTTCATTTATTTCAATTTTTTATCATTTCTTTAGTTTTTAAAGTTTTTTTGAATTTTTTAATCAATTAATGATCAAAATTAACTTTTATTAACAGTAAAAATTTTGTTGCTCTGTTTTCAAAAAGTTGAAAAAACAAATTATATAATAAACAAGCTCAGAATCTATGATGTTATTAGGTTTAAAATTTAAAGAGTAATTTACTTATTTAGCAGTTTTTTTAGCAGTATTCTGAAGTTTTATATATATATATATATATATATGATGGACACGTTAGTAGAAGTCACGGGTTGGTCGTTGACCAGAGCAATACATGACAATTGAGATTTCATAAACTAATTATCATACCACAATCTTCTACGTGGCTGCAGAACTAGTTAAATTTTGTTGCCGTTTTTCTCATTATTTATTCTGCTAACACTTATCGTTTCAGATAAATAATGAGAAACAAGACATATAAGAGTATCATTGCAAGATATTAAACCAAAAAAAGAAAGTACTTGGTAGTAGTTGATTAATCAATGATAAATAATAATTGTGATTAATTATTCATGTAAAGACAAAAATATGGTCAAGTTTCGCCACAAAACATCCTTAATTGGCTCGCTTAATTTGGTAAAGCAAGTAACGTGCTCGGCAATTTATAAACTGCTTCATTTAATAAAGCCCAATATTTTGAAGGGATAGAGCACAAGAGTTTTTTCATTCAAATTGTTCATGTTTTAAAATGAAATTTAATTAGACTATGTTATGATACATGAAAATTTGAATTTGAAGTTAATCTAAATCCAAATCCATGTTTTATTATAACTTTTATATAATTTTAAATTCTCTCTAAATCCTAATTATTTGAAATCTTAGCTACTCCATCTCTCTTATTTTCTTTACATTTTCACTATCAATGTTTTTATTACTCTTGCCTCCCATCTCATCTTTTGTCCTCCTCTTTCATAGTTTAAAATATAGAGGTAAGTTTGTCACCCTTGATTTTTCATTTTTGCTTTGAATTTTAACTCATTTCTCTTTTATTTTTCAAATTTTTTATACTATTCAAACAAAAATTTTTAAATATAAAAATTTTAATATAAGATTTTAAATCTAAAATTTAAATTCAAATCTACTAATCCAAATGCTATCTCATGAAATTTGGGCATTAAATGCATTTTCAAATGTTCAAGTTATCAGTATTTTAATTTTAATATTTTCTTAAATTTTAACATGAATAACTTATCTTTTGATTGGATGAAAAATATTCTCGATATGTTGAATGGTACGTTGGGGAGACTATTGACAAAGGTCCAAATAGATTATATGACTGACGATACGTCAGGATATGTAGTTCTTTGTTTGGGAATTAATTTAAAGTATTTTGGCATGTAGTGTTAAAATAGATGTGTTAAGAAAATGATATAAGTTTAATTCATTTCATTGGAATTCACTGACAAGTTTTCTTATTGAATATGATATAATTACAAATTTTGTATATTATCATTGAATTGTATCCTACGAGAGCATTTCATGATAGAAACGCTCTGTAAACCTCACTTATATGAGTGTTTTCAAAACACTCTTGTACATACGAAAGCATCTGGATGTGGGATACTTTTGAAATATTCACATGGATTAAAAAAGTGCTTCTGTAAGTTTTTTTTTTTTTAAGTTATGAGATTTAATTTTTATAGTAATGAGATTAAAACAAATGGATATAAAATATAAAATCTATCCAAACTGTATTATTCATAAATATAAAATGCAAATGGGAAAAAATTCTCTATACATTTAATTGGGTCATGCAATCAAATATTTTATCCTTCTATATTTTTTCTACATATTTCAATAAGATTTAAATACTAGAAAAGCATCCTATAACGACTTCTAACTCATTATTTATATCTAGTATCACACCTGGAAAGATATCTAGTTCCTTATAGTTTATTTTATACTAAAACTTGATTTCAAATTAAAACAAATAAAATAAGCAACTAAATGAATCCATTATAAAATTAGTGATACACGTAGTTTTGGTTGAGCTTTGAACTTTACTTTGGAGGATGACAAGAAATCTGTTGATATAAACAACACAAGGTCTCTCCCTCATTTCAGGAACAAATTGCTTAATTTCTGCAACCTTTCAATATCATCAGTAATTACTTTACAAAATAAAACTGTTCCATCAATCCCCTCTTGTTGTTGCATTCTTAGCTTCATAGTTCATTAGTCTCCGTCATGTCCAACATGGACGTCTCTTTCTCAGATGATGAATTTTCCTTCATAAGTGCAGTCACAAGTGTAGGAGGAGCTAGCAGAAGCCTAGAAGAGCTCATGTTCTTCTACAGTGTGCCAACCAGTCCTAGCTTCATCAGGACAAGTTCACTATATGGTTCTGATCTTGATGCAGAAGATGAATTCGAATTCGAAACTAGTCGTCGTTTCCTTGATCCTCGCAATCTTGAAACTGATCAAAAGAAAGATGATGATGAAGAAGAGAATGATGAGAAGCAGAAGCAAAGGCTTCAAAGGAAGAGTGAGGATTCTTTGCCAACCATGTCATTTGCTGATGAGCTTTTTTGTGATGGCAAGGTCTTGCCTCTGCCTCTTAAGCTTCCTCCAAGGCTTCAAAATGGAAGTGCTCGGAAAGCGAGCATGCTGAGCTCATCGGCATCTTTGTCGCCGAGGTCGTTGGGGTCGTCGGTGAAGCGAACACTTTCAGGGAAATGTTTGTGGAATGATGATTTTGATCCATTCATGGTGGCTTTGAAAGTGGTAAGAGAAGAAGAGGAGAGAGGGAAACCAAAGGAAAGAGATGGTATTAGAAGGACTAAGTCAGAATTACTAATCAGGAGCAAAGGCCCAAACGGTGGGCCAAGTGGGCTGGCATGTGAAGGTCCAAATGAGCCATTGATAGCAGCATCAAGAGGACCAAAAATGGTGTTTAGTGAGCCCAAAGGGTTGGAGCTTGCAAGGAAAACAAGACTAATTGGGCTTGACAAGAATGGGCCCAATAGAAACAAAGCAGAGAGTGAAAGTGGTGGGGCCTGGAAAGAGAAGAGGAAGAGAGAGAAGATAATGAAGTTCCTATTTGGGAAAGTAAGTGGTTATCACAAGTTCAGAGATCAAAAGGATGAAACAGTTTGTGAGGTGAAGAAAATGACAATGACATGTTATAAGCCTAGGCTTCTTCTTTGCTTGGGTTATGGAGGAAGGTATGTCAAGTGATTTAAAACACACTGAGCAATACTATATTAAGTTTATAAAGGAATATTTATCTATTGAACTGTTTTTTTTTTAAGAAAAAACTCTGATATTTTTAAAATTAGATGGTTCAAATTGAATTACATTTTATTTTTATATGCTTAATTTTTATTTTAATAAGTGTAAAATTTAAAATAAAGATAATCTATTGGAGTTACTTTTTACAAAACAAATTTAACATCTAAAATTTTAAAAATAAAAATTTTAAATATGAATTGTCTAAATTAAAGACTCCTCATCATTCTTCTTTTAAAAAACAACAAAAATGCATGCTCATCATTGCAGTGAATTCCAAATCTGAATACATTCTTTTATGTTGATTCATTTTTGTGCAAATTATGGCACATGTTTAAAGAGTAGTTCTTTAATTTTAGACCTTCCATAGTAGTTCTTCAAAATTATTTCCATCGCCAATACATACATACATTTTAATGAAGTTAAAAAGGTTAACGGATATATAATAGCGTGATTGCACTTAATCTAAAGGATTTTCTTTTTCTTTTCAATTTTTTTGGATATTCATGACCAAGATCTCCAACTTCCATATATATATAAATATATAAAATTTTCCATACATGTCAGCTTATCAGTACATCAACTTCATGTGAGCATAAAGGTTATTAGTGACTGAAGCCATTTCAGAAAAATATAATAGAAGTTAATAATAGAAGACTAGATTAAGAACATGTATCTTGATCAAATCATTATCCAGATCACAGAAAATCCAGCAATGAAAGCTTCACGGAGAAACAACCATCAGATTTGCAGATCACAGAGGATATAATTTAATAATTATATACTTCAAAGCCGATTATAGTCTGAAACAAAATTAAATTGTTGGAGAGACAAACAAAACATTCTATAAGCATATTGCTAATGAATCATTTACAGAGTTATTGTCAGACAGAACTATCTTGAAGCCGAGTGAAATATCAGGAGCAAACTTGAGATCAAAAGCTATATTCTATACATAGTGGAACGAATGTTTCTACATCATTTAAAGCATAAAAGCAAAAAGTAATCTACATTTATGGAAATCACATGAATATTTTCCCAAGAAAAAAAATTGATCACAACGATGTAATTTGGGGGGGGGGGGGTAAAAGAAGAAAATGGCATGCTCACCATTGTGCATTTGGCTGAATGAGGAGAAGCTGTTCACTTCATGTTCTACCTACCCCCCCCCCTAGTTTTCAGACCATAAAAAATTAAGTTTCGATCTTGAATTTAAGCTAGCATGGAATAAAAATCTGGTCTGATGCAGTTCCTACTACTAGTCCAAGACTTGAGCAGGCCAAAGGCGTCTCCAGGTGGCAATCTCATTCTCACTGTAAATCTTTCTGATTCCTCCATAGAACCCATCAGCCTCATTTCCCTCCTCCCTATGATTCTTCCTACAGATGTTTGTTTGTCTCCATCGCGAGCCAGGCATGTACTGGTTGAACTCTAGCACAACTGTGTCTGCACCAAATCCATTCAGCATCAAATAAGTTATGCTGCAATCCTCAGAAACACTTACCAGCCATAGGGTTATAGCCATAACAAGGCCAATGCCCTGCCATGACTACAAGTGAAAAATGATAACTGTCTCCAGTTTCCAGCATTTCTTTTCACATGAAATTATTTCACTTGATGAGAGACTTAAAGAGGACTAAATCATATATCAATAAATTTCATTTCTCACTAGTTCATTGCATGCAGATTACTTTCAAGTTATGACAGCTAACACAATACTTTAGAGTGAAAGCATTTGGTGGTTACACAGTTTGCCTCCACTCAAACAGATAAGTCACAGGTGCCACATTTGTTTTTTTTTGTTTTTTTTTTTTTGGGGGGGCACTGTCGAGAAACAATCTGAAAGTGAAAAATCAGAAGGAGAAATAAGTTCAAGAGAAGAGGACATTCCTCTAAAGTCATGGATTGTTTTTGGATTAACACTAGACAGGAAAACTAACTAATATGTGGTATCCAAGTAGCGAAATATCCTATTTATCTACTACAGATCCACACTTCTCACCATTGTGGGGAACCGGGGATTGAACACCCCCCGCCCCCACGCGGGCGGTTTTGAGGGAAACACAAAATTCCTCGAGGGCCCCAGTGAAAATAGGCAACAGTGACCATTTTCATGCCTATCCAAGCAACCAATAAACAAAACGCCACCACGTGACATAGGAATATGACGAAGGGAGTTTTTCCAATGAAATAAGAGTTCTGAGGGCAGAGATAAGAACAATCTGATTGAGATAGGCATAGTGCTGTACACGTGATATTCTTTGAACGGGCACAAATCTTGAGTATTTAATATCAGATTAGAATTGTAATGTATGGAAGAGCTTGCTGGGAAAGCCCAATAATGTGTTGTTGACAAACAAAAATGCTTCAAAGTATTATACTTTTATCAGGACATCTATCATCTGAAAATAAACAGCCCAAGAACTTTACCGAAGTTTTATCTATTATATCCCTGTCAGGCAGGTGAAGGATAACTACTTTCTAATATTAACCTTACTTATGATGATATTGCTATCTGTTGGGAATGAAATGTTTGATAGTTACCTTAACAGAAAGTTGTGGGTAATCATGGCTACCTTACGAAGAGATCAGAAAAATGGAAACAGAAGTCGGAGGCTTATAATAATTAGAGTAGCCCCAGTGCCCCACATAGCATAAGGATTCCTACTAGATTTGAAACAGAAACTTATAAGGGAAATGGAGTTCTTTTAGCGTAGTTGGCCATTAAAGAATCCACTGAGACATAAGTTATCAATGTGTTGGTGGCAATGATGACACACTGACATGATATGTTTTAGGGGACCATTCCAATAGCATAACAGGGGGTCCACGTTTAATATCTAAAACCATGAAAATAATTAAATAAAATAGCCTAACTTCTGGTCTCTTCCATCAAATTAAATTAAAGTCACTTCTTCCCTTTATGTCGTCCCAAATACAAAAGATTACATTGTTTAAAACGTATGTATGAAACTTCAACGTTCACTTAATTGCTTTCTTTCTCATCATCATAAAGGCAGAAATATTTTGCTTTCCACCAATTATATCCAGTTGCTTCTGAAAAATTGTAGTTCATCTAAACCCTACTACAATCAATTGTCATGTGGTTAAATCATATCGTTTTAATGATACGCTCGATATGATCATAGACAGGATATGATTCTATTTTAAAGGAGGAAAAGAACGACAATTAAATGAATGATTATAACAATCATCTAACAGGAAAATGAGATGAATTTACCACTATTATGACAACGGCAGTAATGTGCATTCCCATCACATGATTCTAAGTGACCAACAGCCCCATACCACCAGCCTGCAAGAAAGGTATATCTCGTCACGGGCCAATTAATCTAAGGTAAATGATATAATTCCGTTTCTGCAAAATATATACCACGAGATGTTTACTTTTATAAGTAGCTATTCAGCTATGCAGAAATAAACTTTTTAAAGGAAACAATACACTTTTTCTTTTTAACTTTTTGTGTTTGACCCACACCAATAATGTTGTTAAAAGTGTTTGCATAACTGGACAAAATATTGAATTAAGTTATTTGTTAACTAAAATGTATAAAAGGAATAATTGCACTGCCAAACATGCCCTAAAACAAGGGTATAAGGAAGTTATGGTCTGAAAATCTCTGACACATGGCGATTTCTATACTATCAAAATATAGCATGATGAGTAAAAGGAAGCGCAAATATCTTTCTGACCCCGTATATATATCAAGAAGAAGAAACGTATGACCTTCCTAACATTCTAAAAACATCTCCCCCTTCCCCCTAAAAGTTCAAAAAACAAAAATAAGATTGAATGAAGAAATAAACTTTGTTCTAGGCTAAATATTAGATACAGCCATCATCTTTTCCGTTCCTTTTACTTTTCCAGAAGATAAAGACTATGGTCCCGCATTCTGCATCCTTTTTTTCCAAACTATGATAATATTTTATTTGATATGTTTAAATTGTTCTTTCACTGGTATCACAGCTTTTTCCAGCCAAAGTAATTAATTGGAGAAGTAGAAGACCAAGATGGAGGGAGGAACAAACCATAAGGGAATTCTTTGTTTCTCCTCCACTGAATCTCTATATGATCACCAGGACGTAAATCATTCAAACAGTCAGAAATATGAAGATCATGAGGGGAAGTATCAGTTGGTGGAGCTCTTAGCCTTTCCCATGTGATGCCAGTCTCTATTGCAATTGCCCTTCTTCCATGTGGAGGATACCTATAAGACAATATGAATAATTAAATTATACAACCAGATCCAGATTCATGTTGTCTTTCTCCTGTCATGTTTTCCTTGTACAAACTCTTCCAACGTCTTTTGAGCAAGTTTATCACACACATCATTGTCTACTAAGAAACTAATAAATGTATGATCACCACAAAAAACAAATGTCTCATTACCTGGCTTGGAAGGTGTCCGTGTGCCGGTCATAGCTCAGCTCAGCATCATAGCAAGATAACACGAATCCAACATGACCATTCTATACCGCAATCGCAAATGTAACTTATGAGAAAACTAAATCCTCCAAGTTCAGTGAAAATCCAAGAAACTTTCTTTTTCGTTTTCGTTGGTATAAAGGTAGTTATAAATTTTTAACAGAAAAATCACTAATGTAATTTGAGAGAAACAAAATCTTCTGAGTACAGTTAAAATCCAAGAAACTTCTCTATATGTTTGTGAGTGCTATGGTAAATATAAATTTTTGAAAGAGAAACATAAAAAGACACAAGTGTAAATTGTGAGAAAACCCTCCTAATCCAATTAAATTCCAAGAAACTTTGTATTTTTTCAGGTCTCACGGCAAATGTAAAATTATTAACAGAAAAGCCGGAGAGGAATTCACCATACCTCGCGGTTATAGACCTGAGCAGGGAACCAGAAATTGCCAGACTCAAGAGCAAGATACCAAGTCATGACAGAATCAACTGGCAAGGAACATGGCTGGTTGCTGCTATGATTATTATTATTTGCATCACCCTTCAATCTCATCCATGAAAAAGACCAATTAAGAGATAGAAACCTCCTCAATCCCCTGTGCTTCCCCTGTTTCAGACTGCCCATATCTTGTTTTGAAGCAATATGCCATTGCCATTCCCTATAAGCAGATTTACCAATAATCCTGCCCCATTTTTGCTTCATGTGTCTCTGCCAAAAGTAATCACTGATACTTCTCTCCCTTAAGGAACGGCAAACACCTGCCATTTGACAAAGAGCTGGAGGAGGTAGCCTCTCAAGAATGCATTCCAAGACCAGCTCTGGTAAGTCCAAAAGTGAAGTATCTTGGGAATCCTCGACATTCTCTACTCTTGAAGTGAAGGCCATCTTCTTCATTAGGGACATTCTTGAAGGAATTTCAGAGGGAGAACCCAGAAAGAGACGACAGGATATCAACTTAGAGATTGATTTTGCAGACAATAACTGTTTGCAAAACACCAAGGAGATCAATCTCAAATCACTTTTCCAAGGTTGTTGAGGTTTGAAAGGAAGAGATTTCAGAAACAGGAAGAAGGTGACACAAGTGATGAAGAGAACTAGCATTAGGAAAGAGGAAATCTCTTGCGGGTCAAATTCGAGTTTGGCATAGGCGATGATAACAGAGCAGCCTTGGGGTAGGAAAAGCGATGGCTAAGAGTTAAGAAGAAGCCCAAATGAGTCCCCTTCTCCAGAAAAATTGAGGCAATATTTTACCACGAGAGCCCACCAAAGGCCAATGGTGGGCCTCTCTCCAATATTTGATCAGAATAAAAAACAAAAAGAAAATAATTCCACAGCAACTGAATGTTACTGAAATTTCCTTGAACCACTATTTTGTGGGTTAGCAAGAACAACCGTACAGACAGCTGTCATTCATGTGTAGAAATGGGGTCCTAAAAAGGATGAGGGGAAGGTGAACCAAGAAGGAAGCTAATGGAGGTGGGGTAGCAGGATCTGTTGTCAGGTTTTCTGACACCTGTAAAATGGAAATGGCGTGAAATGGATGAAGATAAGTCTAGATACAAAGACCCATATCTCATGAAATCTCTGAATCTATTGGTTCAAGGAATGAATTATTTTTAAGAACAGTGTGGGTAGAATAAAGCAGATCTGGTTATTTTGGAATTGAATGCACTATCATCAGGCTCAGGTGCGCCCAACCAAAACAAGATTTACAATATAAAAAATGGGAAATTGAATGAATTATCCAATGGACAAAATTTCAGGGTGTTCAGTGCATATACAGAAGAAGATAAAAGAGATTTGATGAAGACGATGATGAATGTGAAGGGCGGGTCCTCCTAGGCTCCTACCCTCCACTCCAACAGATTCTTCACCCCACCTCAATAATCCCTTCGATATTCACAGAATTCCCCCTTATTGCTTCTTCTTCTTCCTTCTTCTGTTCTCTTTGGAGCAATATAACAAACAGGCTGTGGTCAAACAAACGAGAAACAACAGTAAATTCTGCAAAAGATGGCCGGCTAACGTTAAACGGGAATTTTTGTGGATAGATCAATAATTGAAAATAAATGAAATATATAAATAAATTATTTCTCTCTCTCTCTCTAGATCCGTGCCACACTCCACTCTCTGATATCTCTCCAACAAGTTGGAGGAAAATCCGTCTGACCAGGAAAAGTAACTGGGTTGCACAATGGATAAACCCAGTTGTTGATGTGAATGAAGCTCGGCGTATGATCCAGTACACTAGCGTCCGCAGCCGTAGGAAAATGTCTCCAACTACTTCAGGACACGTGGCTTTCCAAAAGTGCATGTTGGCGCCGGGACCATTATCAGATACTCTGGCCCTGGATTAATTAATTATTTCATCACCATAGTTTTCACTTTACACCAATTTTCATTTTCAATTGAATCTTTATATTTCAGTAATTTTCACCTTGCTGCTTAAAAGTTTTTATGGTTAAGTGAAAAATCAGACAAGCCCCATCAGTTCATCCAGTAACTCGATGTATTGACCAATTGGCTGGTTCGATTTATAATATAAATCAGAATAGTGATAATTCAGATTCACCCAATCAACCCAAAGATGATCTGGTCTCAAAAACTTGCCAAGTTAAATTGGAAAAAAATAATTAATGAGAGGAATTTTTATCTAAACTTACCTAAAAGCTAGCATGATATCTCAACACTCAAATGCAGGTCTCACAAGCAACATTGTGTTAAACTTAGAAACACCAGGCATGAGTTTAAAGAGCTGTTTTGATTGGGTTCATCTTCTTTTATACTTTTATATATATTATGAGTACTAATTTGACCATTGAGACAAAGCTTTCATCATCAATATTTATTTGATCCTTGCTTACTTTAATTTTGTTTTTTTTTGTATGAATTTTTTTATGTTTTCTTCTTTAATCACATAATTTATATATAATCATATTCATATATGAATTGTAATTATCTCCTTAGATTTCTTTCTTTACGTACATCACATGCAATTTTTTGGTGGAGAATATAAATCGCTAATTAAAAGGTTTTACTGGTTCAAAATAGAAGTCATTTTTTTTAATTTTTTAAACCATTAAATGCATTTTTCCTTAAATACTCGTCATTAACATTGTTCAGCCAAAATGAAACAACTATGCCATGAAGAAAGGTAAATCATTTAAGTAGGGATAAATTTTACATGCTCTGGTACAAAATTAGTTAGTTAAAACTTAAGGTTAAATGGTAATTTCACCTTAAACCATAAATTTATGAGCATATATGACCTTAAACTTATTTTTATGTAATATTCCTCTTCAATTTTAAAAAATAGTGTAATGTCATTCTTACAAGTAACAAAAGTTAATTTTAACTACTAATTAATCAAAAAATTACAAAATGACCTAAAATTGCATAAAAATATCAAGAAATTTTATCGGTCCTTTTCTATATTTTTTTATCCTTATATGTAATTTTATGGTCAACTAATTATTAAAATTAACATTTGTAAATGATAAGAATAATATTGCATTATTTTTAAAAGTTGAAAAGAAATATTACATAAAAAATGAGTTTAAGAACTCAAATACTCTTAAAGATATAGTTTATGAATAAATTTATCATTTAACTCTAAAACTTAAACTACTGTCTTTAACTTCTTTTTTTTTAAAGAAAATCTATGAGGCATGTATTAGTGATTGAGATGGAATGAAGTATGCTCCTAATTTATCTTTAACTTTTTAGATATTTTTAAATTTATAATTTAGGGATAAATTTACCATTGAATCACAAAACTTAAATTGTTATTTTTAACTTTTATTTAAAAAAATCTGTGAGACATTTACTGGTGACTGAGACATGATGAAGTATCCTCATCATTTATTTTTGATATAATTATGACTTGTTGATGATTTACTATCCAGCAATTTAGACATGTGCTAGATAATAACTAATAAATATTCTTGAGGGAGTAATTATGATGCCAACAATAATGATGTAATGATTTATAATTTAATATTAGTAAATAGTAATAATTAAAATTCAGCAAAACATTGGGGCCTTAAAAGAGCAAAATGCAAATATTTAGAAATTACTCGTCTGGTCTTATTTATAAAATAAAAAAAGAAAAAATTTAATCTTATTTATAGAGCACTTGTCAATTTTCAATACTTCTCTTTATATTTTTACCTTTATTAAATGCTTTGAATAAAAATATCAGTAATGAGATTTAAGAATGTTTATTAAGAATAAAGGTAAAAACTTATTAAACTTTAAGACAAAGTAAATGAGGTTTAATGTTTTTCTTGATTATGGTGAAACATATTGAAAGTAACTTATAAATAGGATTAGAAGGAGTATATTGTATTATAGTAGTATTTAAATTTTCCATTTAATTATCATTTATTTTTCTAGAATATTATTTCAATTTAAATAAAACATCATGAAAAAGAGTAATAATAATAGTAATCTAATGATTTTTTTCTCCAAAAATGTTCCTAGTGAATATTCAAAATTAATGATATTTTTATAATGATTTTTTTATTAAATTACCTTATTTTTTATATTTATTTTTTATTAAATCAATGATTATAACTGTCTTTTTAATGGAAGTTGGTTAAAAATATTTTATAATTTTAAACAGAGGGAATAATTATTTCCGGCTCATAAGAAAATTGGTGTTTGTAAATTATTGAAAATTGGAACTGATATCACTATTATTAATAATGGACTATAGCAGCAATAATAATCAGTAATATAATAAGAAGAATCGGTGGGAATCTGAAACGAATGGTGGGTGTGAATTATTTAGGACATAGTGTGGTCCTTCACTAAGACAAACACAGCATATCGCAGCAGAAGCAACCACAAGGGACCGCTTCCTCCACTTGTTTCTCTCATTTCATATTCATAGAAAAAATTACATAAAATGACAACATTACTTTGAAGTATCATCATTTCTATCACCAAAATTATCAATTTTCTTTTCAAAAAAAAAAAAAAGAAGAGCAAGCACTAAACTCTAAAGTGACAAATAGGAACCTACTCCCAATTACAAGGGAGCTTATATGAATTGTCACATCTAACTTTTTAATTGATAATTAAACAGTAATAATTAACAGCCATACAATTGTAATTGATAATTTTGATAAACAATATAAGACTTCAGGACTTTTTTGTATTTAGATTCTTTATGTAGGATTTTTGTATTTAGATTCTTCGTGTGGGACTTTAAAGTGATTTTTTATATACACACATATAGAAACATAAATACTAGTAAAATTAAAATTATAGTGAAGGACATTTGACAACGTGTTTCTAATCTATCACTAATCATATGCATTTGTGACAGAAATTTTGTGATGAACTAGGCATCTGTCACTAATTATATAAATTAGTAATGAATTAGCTAAATCAAAAATGTCATCACATTCTTGTCAAACATTACAAATTTAATGCTATCAGTGACGGATATTTTTAATTAAAAAATTAGTCCTAAGTATTTTATAAAAAATAAAAATATATATATATATAATGAGACTCACATGATAAAAAAATTCGAAATTACCGAACTAAATTTTCAATTACACATATAGTGTCTTCCTTTTGTTATGAATAAATATAATGTAAATTTATAAATAAAAAATAAATTTTATCATATAAAAATATTTAATTATTAACATATTTACATTATATTACAAATCAAGATTGAAAGGTTATTACAGTTTAATTTGCAAAAAAACAAAAACAAAAAGGGAGAGTTATAAAAAAGCAGTTTGATAGAGGATATCAAATTTGTTCATCATTAATTTTAATTTTTTTAATAGTAATGAAATGTGTACTCTGTCATGTCCTTTTTACAATATGCTTTTTTTTTAAAAAAAAAAAGTCTAAAGGTGTCTTTAAAAAAATATTAAACAATGTTTCATTTTTATTCTTTAGTTTAACGATATTCTTGAAACTTTAGAAAACATGATAACTTTGCACAAATAACGAAACATCTTTCTCATATTTTTATGGGATTACATTTTGCATTAGAATATTTATATTTTTTTTATTACACAAATTTATCTTTTATTAAAAGTAATTTTTTAAGAATAATTGGGCACTAAAAATCTAAAACACTTCTCCTAACAAATATTCGACAATTAATTAATCATGTCTTGAGCAACTAATTATTGTAATTAATAAGAGCACAATTAACAACACAAACAACATTTATGCCTAATGAGAATATATAAATATTGATAGAGAGTGTGAGAAAATAAATATGAACATGTGAAGGAGAAAAGAACAACATTTTTATTGAAGAAGTCTTAATCATTAATGCCTAATGTCTAGGCATAGGCATAGTTGTGATTTTACTATCACTCACTAATCAATATCTTCTTTTTTATTCTTCAATGGACCCACACACCATAGCTAATTCAACTTTCTTCTCACACACACACGCAAGAAAATAATACTTGAATTCAGGTTCAAAATGACCCTCTTTTTTAATACAACGCATCGTGACATGCCATGACTTATGACTAATTAAAATGCAAAGTAAAAATATTTCCAATAAAATTGAATTAAAAATTCATGAATTAGCAAATTCGATTTAGAAGTTGTCATGTTAAACTTGAAAAATCATACAAATTGATATAACATAGAATTAATAATGACAAATGTAAGATTTTCTTTTTGGATCACAAAAGGATTTTGAATTTTAAACTTTTTTATACATTGAGAGAATTCGAATATCTAACTTTTTGTTATTATTCATAAGCATTCTCCTAATGAGGCAATCTTATTTAAGATATATATGATTGTACATTAAATATAGATAATTAAATATAGATATTTTTTTTAATGAGAATTTAAATTTTAGTTTATTATATTATGAGAAATTAGTTCATTTTATTAAATACAATCTTTATTGATTTGAATATTAGCTTACATGTCAACTTTTGTAGTAGAAACTAAACTATTCAGTTTAGCAATAACTTACAATTGTTTGAATAGCCTTGATTCTTAAGGCCATCAAACAAACAATTCCCTAAACTGAATGGTTTCAAAAAAAATTTAAATAATCATTAATATTTAACAAATATTTTTGGCCGAACAATTAATATTTAATC